AGCATTTGTAAATATATCTTTGCTTACTTAAGCCCTAATTTACTGCATTGGGCACTGGCATAGGGCTGCCTGAGTTCTCATTATATACCCATATACCACCTAGGTTGTCTGAGTCCTTGGTGCTACCTTCTTGTTAACTTTTTTAAAGTCTCCAATTCTGCCCTTCTTCTTCTTTTTTTAAGATTTATTTATTTATTTGAGAGGCAGAAAAAGAGAGAGAGAGGGAGAGAGTGGGAGAGGTCTTCCATCCACTGTTTCATTCCCCAGGTGGCTGCAATGGCCAGAGCTGGGCCAATCCAAAGCCAGGAGCCAGGAGCTGCTTCTGGGTCTCCCACGTGGGTGCAGTCACCTTAGGACTTGAGCCATCTTGTACTACTTTCCCAGGCCATAGCAGAGAGCTGGACTGGAAGTGGAGCAGCTGGGATTACTGTATGGGATGCCAGCATTTCAGGTGGCAGCTTTACCTGCTAGGCCTCAGTGCCGGCCGCTCCAGTTCTGTCCTCCTAAAATAAGGGCAAATATCTGAACTCTACATGGAGAAGATTAAGTAAGAGATTTCACATAAGAGTTTAAGGGTTTCATTGAAAGAATTACATAATTAGCTAAAATTAATCTTTGTATTTAATGTTAGTCATGCCTAAATTCAGGTGCTGGAAAAATTAGCCCTGTAAAAGATCAAGTATCTTTTGATAACTGAGAATGCTCTTGAGGTCCATGGAGCAGGTGGCACAAATTGAGTCAACTGATACCACAGGTGTTAAGTATTACAGGGAGAAATTCTAATTCACTCTGTGTGGGAACAAGGAAAGAGTGAGGTCTCCCAAGGCTACTGGTTACAATAAAATAGCCGCAAATTTCTTATACATTCTTTCTCACTACCTTGTACCTTGTGCCTTGTGCTAGGATCACCTCTTACAGACTCAATATTCAGCTAATTTTTTTTAAAAAATTATTTATTTGAAAGAGTTACAGAGAGGGAGAAGGGGAGAGGCGGGGGGGCAGTGGGGGAGCAGGAGGGGGAGGGAGATGGGGAAAGAGAGAGAGAGAGAGAGAGAGAGAGAGAGAGAAAGATTCCATCCAATATTTCACTCCCCAGATGGCTGCAATGGCCAGGGCTGAGCCAGGCTGAAGCCAGGAGTCAGGGGCTTCATCTGAGTCTCCCACGTGGCTGGCAGGGGCCCAAGGACTTGGGCCATCTGCTGGTGCTTTTCCCAGGTGATTAGCAGACAGCTAGATTAGAAGTGGAGCAGCTGGGACACAAACCCGCATCCATATGGGATACTGGCATCGCAGGTGATGGCTTTGCGCACTATGCCACAACGCCAGCCCCTCAGCTCATTTTTAGTCATCTTTGTGGGCAATCATAATGGTTGTTGACCTCTGTTATTCTAGGGCTGGGTTTAATCTTGAGAATACAAATGGATTTGAGGAAAGGAGACAATAGGCTCACCTTTTTGGCAGTCAGAGATTTTTCTTGGGGGAAGTCATTGATTACCTTGACAGATCCTGGGGTGTCACACATTGCTCCAGACCGGGCCTCAGTTTACATTCTCAGTTCTCTGACTAGCAGGGCACTAAGAATGACCTATTGTGTTTGACACACATGACGGAGCACAGAGAATAATGTAGAAAGCTAGCTTGCCAACTCAATATTGGTGTATAGAAAGAGATGGATTTTTGGGTCCACTGATCAGTGCTTTCTCTACAAAGGTAATTCTACTGGGAAATAAGCCCCAGATAACCAAGGGTTTGTTTGCAAGTCTGACTTCTACAATGAGTTTGTGTTGGATGGGTTTAATGAAAATAGCAGTTGGGGGAAGTGGGAGTGAGGGGAGAGGGTAGCTAGAAGGCCATCACCAAGATAAAATATTCTCTTCTATGGAGATGGGAGACCCAAGGCCTTGCCTCAGTTGTCCCATGCCACCTGAAGATAGATGTGCACTTGTTTCTTAACAGTGCTGTAATCAGATACTATAAACTGAGTGTCTTAAAACAACAGACATTTATTGTTTCACTATTCTGGAAACTGGAAGTCTGACAATCAAGGTGTAGGCAGGGCCATGCTCCTTCTGAAACATACAGGGAATCCTTCCTCAACTCTTCGAGCTGCTGGTGTCTGCTGGCAAAACCTGCCGTTGCTTCATTTGTAGACACATCACTCTAATCTCAGCCTTTGTGAGCACATTGTGTTTTCTCCTGGTGTCTCTCTGCTCTTCTTAGAAGGACACCAGCCATATTAGACTATGGGTCCACCCTACTCCACCACGATCTCATCAAACTGAACTAACATTTGTGACAATCCTGTTTCCAAAATTTTCATTTTGAAGAACTAGGGTTAGGGTTTTAGCATGTTGTTGGAGGGACATAATCCACAATAGTGGTCTTGGAAATTTCTTTTGAGTTGCATACATTATTTTGTAGGAATTCACTGTTTCTTTAGGTACTATATATTTCTTAATCTTTTTGGTCATCATTTTATGACTACAAGAAAATGCAGAATTTGGCCAGTTTATTTATTTTTAAAAGATTTATTTATTTTAAAGGCTGTGTGTTTGTGTGTGTGTGTGTGTGTGTGAGAGAGAGAGAGAGAGAGAGAGAGAGAGGCATCTCCAAAGTGCCCACAACAACTGTGGCGTGGGTGGCAGAGACCTAGGTACTTTGGCTATTATTTTCTGTCTCCTGGTTGCATTAGCAGAGAGCTGGATTGAAAGTAGAGGTAGGATGGTAGGACTTGATCCTAGGCACTCTGACAGGGGATGTGGCTATTGCAAATGGTGGCTTGACTCACTGGACAATAAACCCATGGATTTAGTCAGTTTTAGCTGAGAAACTAAACTTTGATGAGTTGCTAAAAACAGAGAGTGATATACAATTCTTTTGGTGTGTGGTAGTGTTACAGAAATCCGGGGTGGGAAAACTCCCTTCATTCAAACAGGCACCAGAAGCAGTGGAGGCTCCAAGAAGTTTAAAAACGCCAGCAGCAGGCTCAGCTGGAATAATTTCCTGAGAACTGAGCAACAATCCCAAGTTTCTTATATTTATAGGTTCATCAGCTTTATAGCTTAACTGCTACAGCATTGGTGGGTTTAAATTGCAGCCTTCGTAACTTTAGGACCACACTTCCAATGGTCGGTGGGTCCGGTATGTTTGTCAAAGAGATACCAGGGGCTGGCACTGCAGCGTATTGGGTAAAGCTGCTGCCTGCAGTGCCAGCATCCCATATGGGCGCTGGTTTGAATCCTGGCTGCTTCACTTCCGATCTAGCTCTCTGCTATGGCTGAGAAAGCAGTGGAAAATGGCCCACCCGCGTGGGAGACCCAGAAGAAGCTCCTGGCTCCTGGCTTAGGATTGGTGAACCAGTGGATAGAAGACCTCTCCCTCCCTCCCTCCCTCCCTCCCTCCCTCCCTCTCTCTCTCTCTCTCTCTGCCTCTCCTTCTCTCTCTGTAACTCTTTCAAATAAAATAAATAAATCTTTAAAAAAAAAAAAGAGAGAGAGAGATACAAGGGGCAGATTTATTAGGGTAGATTTATGACTGGAGTTACAGAAGCAGAACTTAGGATGTCTTCCCTCCCTAGACAAGATAACAGTGTGCAGCTATCTCACTAGTTACTGCGAGCGGCCACTTTTCAAGGTCTGTGTTGGGGGTGAGGGGCCCGCTTTTCTTTGTCTTTGGTTGCGGCCGTATTTCCTCTACAGTAGGAAGAAGGTAGCAGTAGATGAGGAGGTACCTGAAACAGCATTTTGAAGAAACACATTAACAATCTTTGCTGGACAGGTGATAATTTGAAACTAGTCCTTATAATTTTGACATCTTCAGCTATTCAGGGCCATTTCATCTTTCCCAAGCTTTTCCTTGCTGCTTCATTCTTATTTATTTCACTTTCCCCCTTCCAAGTATTCCCAGACTGAAGTACCTGGGTTCAAAACATGACTCTGGCTCTTGACTCCAGCTTCCAGTGTGGACCCCGGGAGGCAGCAGTGACGGCTCAAGTAACTGGGAACCAGCTACCCACTGGGTGACTTGGGTTGAGCTCCATCACCTGGCTTCAACCTCAGGTGTTGGCGGGATATTTGGGAATTGGATCAATGGATGGACTCTCTCTCTGATTAAATAAGTAAATAAATTGAAGTATAATTACATGCAGTAATTAATGCAAGTTTGTACCTTTTAATAAAAGCCTAGTAAACTTCTTAATTTGGTTACTATTTTATTTTTTAGATTTATTTGCTTGTGCTCTCATCTACCACTATCAGCCTTACAGGGCTGTCCTGTGTTTTAAATTCTCTTTAGTGCTGCTGCATTTTACCCAGTGAGTTTCTCCCACTGGAATGGTCTTGACACACACCTTCTCTTCCCTTAAGACCAAGCTTGCTTAGAGGACTGCAGTTCTTTTGGCACATGTATGTTGTTTTTTTTTTTTCTCCTGTTCAGTTATAAACGTGCTGTAGCTTTTTTCTTCGCAATCGAAATGTGTAGCACAATGCTTGACGGTAGGTGTTTAACAAATATTTACTGGCCTTTGATTCCATGTATGTTCTTCAGAGTTTTCATAGTGCATTCACAAGTCCACACGATCTCATTTAATCCTTCCTACAAGCCTATAAAATATTCATCACTATCGCTTATCTTTTCCCATATAGTGTGTGGAATGGTGACTGACAAGGTTAAGTATCTTACTCAGTGCAAAGCAATAGCAAATCAGAAATAGAGTTGGTCTTGTGACTTCAAGTTCCGGGCTCAGTCACCAAACAGCTTGTTGAAGCCAGCGCCAACTAGGCGACGCCACTTCGAGGGGACACTCTGGGCGCACTCCCGGAAACTCTGTGCAGAAATTCTCAAAGCCTCTGCGTGTGGGGACTTCGGATCCAGGACTACATCTCCCAGAGAGCTTCGGGGCGAATCCTCAGGTGATTGGTTGACATTCACAGCCAATACAGCTGCGAGGATCTAGTGCAGCCCAATCAGAGGCGTGAGAGGGTGGGATCTCCCACGCCGAGGCTAGATTGAGCCAAGAGCTAACGGCTTTCTGAGCTTCCCAAATCGCTGAGGGGCTGAGAAACGCGCCCCGGCGTCCTTGACGCCACGTTGGCCTCTGCTTTGGGTCCATGCCTGCGCTCTCTCAGTAACCCCGCCTCTGGCTGCGCGACTCGCCGCTCGGTGACTGGGAAGAAAGCACGTGGCGCAGCGCTTGTCGCGGGCTCGCGCCCGGCCGAGGGAGGTTCCCTGGCGTGGCGGACCCTCTGTCCCCTCAGAGACCCTAGCTGCTCCGGCCTCCCCTGCCCGACTGTCCCGGCGCTGGCTGGCGTCGCGCTCGGCCGTCACCTGTGCAGAGCGGCTCTTCCCCGCCGCGCCCCCCGCGGGAGGAGACTCGGCAACATGTCACCCGCCTTCCAAGAGCTGTCGCAATCCGGTAACGCTGCGGTCCCTCTGCTCGGTTCGGTTGCGTGTGTAGTGACCCGTGCTGTGGCCTCTTCACCCCTCGGGTGTTTCTCTGCTGCGGGAGACGCCCGGAGGGATTGCCCTGTGAGCCGGCGGCAGCTTTTGAACTTGGCCCAGTATCTCCTGAAGGCCACATTTTTTTTTTTTTTTTTTTCTCCGCTTCTTACCTAACCTGCTGTGCCCTTTCCTCCGCAGGCAAACAAATCATGAAAACTTGCAAAGCATCCCGCTCCCCATTCGCCTGAAACACTCGCTTGACGTCAAAATAAATAAATTTTGCCGTTCAGTGCAGCCTGTTCCAGCAGGGCGCGGTGGCAGTTTTGCATGATGTAATGTTCTTATTCCGTAAATGCTTGTTGGGCACCTTCTGCCAAAGAAAGTTCAGGTGCTGAGGCCAGATAGGGAAACCCACACAACTAGGTTTTTTTTTTTTTTTTTTTTAAGATTTATTTATTTATTTGAAAGGTGGAGTTACAGAGAAGCAGAGGCAGAGAGAGAGAGAGATCCTCATCTGCTGGTTCACCCCCGAAATGGCAGCAAGGGCCGAAGCTGGGCCCATCTGAAGCCAGGAGCCAACAGCTTCTTCCAGGTCTCCCACACGGATGCAGGGGCCCAAGGACTTGGGCCATCTTCTGCTTTCCCAGGCCATAGCGGAGAGCTGGCTCGGAAGTGGAGCAGCCCCAACCGGCGCCCATACGGAATGCTGGCACTGCAGGCGGTAGCTTTACCCGCTACACCACAGTGCTGCTCACAAGGCTAGTTTAAACTGCACAGAACTTTTATTTTCCGGGTGTGTTTCTGCAAACGCCAGTGTGCTTAAAATCACTGTTACCAATCCCTGCTTGCAGATACTCAGTCAATCTGATGTTGGTGGTCTGGGATTGAGTGTAAGAGAAAAACGAGTTGAGCTAAGAACTGAATTAATTTTAGCTTTATAATAAGCTCTGGGTCTCTTAGAACGTCATCCCTGATTATGATTTGTGTGCATATGTATGTCTAAAACAAAACATAAAATCGTGTGAGGTGTGAAGTAGGAGACACAAAAAACGAGAGTTAGTAATGAGGACAGAAGAGTAGCTGAGTAGCTGCCCTATGGTGGAGTGAGAATTCTCAGTTCTTTTGGGGAGTGAACCAGCGCAGACTGAGTCGGGAGCAAGGAGCTTCTTCCAGGTCACCCACGTGGGTACAGAGGCCCAATTTCTTGGGCCAGCCTCTGCTGCTTTCCTAGGCCTATCACAAAGGGAGCTGGATTGGAATTGGAGCACCAGGACGTGAACTGGCGCCCGTTTGGAATGCTGGCATCATGAGCAGGTTACCTAACTTGCCATGCCAGGATGCTGGCCCTTTAATGAAGTTTTTAAATGAAGAGCTTGGAGTTCTTGAATCTTAAAGTTGACCGCTAAGGCTAAATGTCTGTGATCTCAGACCAATATTGTGTTCCCTTGGGGAAGGAGGCTCGTGGGCTAGCAACTACTTCTTGTGAGAAAATTTTAGCTATATCTTCTAAAGGTTTCTTGGGTTTCATCTTTGCTTAATACTATACCTGTTATTGTGTATATTAATAAATGTTATGTAATTAATGAATAGTTGATGACAGAATGAGTAAATGATTCAGCCAAAGCCTTTCTGTGACTTACTGAAATCCAAGGGGGGAAATACAGTATTTAAAAAATTGGAATAATACCCAAAGAGATGCCTACAAAATGTGGCAAGCTGATACAAACTAGAAATTAGATATCTAAAAATAAAGTGCAAAGTATCTTGCCAGGGACTTAGAGGGCAGTCATAAGATCTTTAATATAGCAAAAGCAAGAAACTGCTGAGAAAGCATTAGGGAACATTTGATTACAATGCAGAAAATAAAAATATCATTTCTTTTCTGTATGTGTTCCCCACTTAGCACAAAGGAAAGGGGTGTTCTAAGTGAATTGTACCTACTTGTTGTCACTATATCTCCAGGGGAGAAGTGTTCCTGACACTAATTTATTACTTAAATCCATTTACCAGGCGTTTTTGGTTTCTGCCTTCATCTTGTGATTCTTTAGGATATTTCTTCAAGGTGGTGCTACCATTTGATTTCAACACCTGATTGTTGCTTTAGCCAGTTAATTCTATGTTTTTTTTTTTTTTTAAATTTTATTTATTGATTTGAGGGGTAGAGAGAGAAAGGAGAAAGAAGGAGCTCCCATCCGTCTGCAGTGGCTGGGGCTGGGAACTCAACACAGGTCTCCCAGCTACTTGAGCGTCACTCTGCCTTCCAGGATCTGCATTAGCAGGAAGCTGGAGTTAGGTACTGGAGCTGGATATTGAACCCAGGTACTCCAGTATGAGATACAGGGAGCTTAACTGCTAGGTCAAACACCAAAACCTGTTTATTTTTTGGAATGTTTGCTGTGAATCAGAATATTATCTACCAGAAAATTAAATGTTAATGATGGAAAACAAACTCAACAAAATACATTGGTTTGATTGACTCAAACTGGAGAAAATGCTGTGTGACCTCTTAAGCTCACTAACGGCGCACATTCCTTGAGACTGTCCTCTGTTCTGCAGTTATCTTCTTTTGGGTCTCCCACATGGGTGCAGGGGCATGAGCACTTGGGCCATCCTCCACTACTTTCCCAGGCACATTAGCAAGGAGCTGGATGAGAAGTGGAGCAGCTGGTACTTGAACTGGCACCCATATGGGATACCAGCTTTGCAGGTGGAGACCTTACTCGCTATACCATAATACCAGCCCCGAAACAATGGATTTTTAAGGACCTCAGTTATAGAGGAGTTTTTTTCTCAGTCCATACAATTCCCATGCATATTTGTTTTATTGTATATTCTCTTTTATCTATATTTCCCATTCTCTCTATTTCACATACGTCTGCATATTTGTAGGTTTCCTTGCAGTCTGTAGTCTGTGTATTTTTAGTTTATATAATGCTATCTTGATGGTTAATCATTTTGAACTTTTATTTGAGAGGCAGATATATACTCCCTCCCTTCCTCTCTGTCCTACACACACACACACAGAGCTCTCATCTGAATGCCTGCAATTACGGGCTAGGCCAGGATGAAGCCAGGAGCTGGGAACTCAGTCCAGGTCTCCCATGTGGGTGTGGCAGGCACCAGATTACTTGAGTCATCACTGCTGCTTCTCAGGGTCTATATTAGCAGAAGCTGGAGTCAGGAGCCAGAGCTGGGTATGGAACCCAGGTACTTTGATAAGGATTGTGGTTATTTTTCTTTTTTAGATTTATTTATTTATTTGAGAGGCAGAGTTACAGAAAGAGAGAGGAAGAGACAGAGAGAGGTCTTCCATCTGCTAGTTCACCCCCCAAATGGTTACAACAACTGGAACTGGACTGATCCTAGTTTACTGAAGCCAGGAGCCAGGAGCTTCCCGGTCCAGGGTCTCCTGCTTGGGTGCGGGGTTCACCTGGGCCATCCTCCACTGCTTTCCTAGGCCACAAGTAGAGAGTTGGATTGGAAATGGAGCAGCCAGAACATGAACCTGCACCCATATGGGATGCCCGCACTGCAGGTGGAGGCTTAGTCTACTACGCCACAGTGCTGACCCCGTGGGTATCTTTAAAAAAAAAAAAAAAAGATTTATTTATTTTGAAACTCAGGCTTACAGAGGGAGAGGGAGATGGGGAGGGGTAGGGGTAGGGGTTAAGGAGAGGGGGAAGGAGAGATCTTCCATCCTCTGGTCATTTGCCAGGTGGCTGCAATGACCAGGACTACGCCAGGTCAAAGCCAGGAGCCACGAGTTTCTCCCTGGTTTCCCACTTGGGTGGCAGGGGTCCAAGCACTTGGGCCATCTGCTGCTGCTTTTCCCAAACCATGATCAAGGAGCTTCATTGCATTGGAGCAGCTGGGATGTGAACAGCGCCCATATGGGATGCTGGTGTTGCAGGTGGTGGCTTTACCTGTTAGGCCTCAACACTGGCCATGGGTATCTTAACCAGTGTCTAAACTGTTATGCTGAACATTCACAAGAGCCAGCTGTATTACTGTGGCATATCTGGTTATCAGTGTGTAGTATTCCACAGTGAACATTGTTCTGCTCTCAGGGAGCACAGAAGAAAATAGGTTGGTGTCATTAAGGTTTGTTTTGAGTGATTTGTATTGACTTTGGTACAGACAGTTGGGATCTATTGAAGATGCTTAACATTTTTCTATAGATGAGTAATCTGATAGTGGTGCATTGGATGGATTTGGAACACAAGGTGGCCAGGTTTGGTAGTGGTCTCTTTGTAGGACCTTTGTCTTTATTTATTTATTCTTTTCATTTGAAAGGCAGAGTTGGGGCCCATGCCATTGCATAGCAGGTAAAGCTGCCTCCTGTGGTGCTGGCATCCCAAATGTGCACTAGTTTGAGTCTCAGCTGCTCCTCTTCCAGTCCAGCTCTTTGCTAATGTACCTGAGAAAGCAGTGGAAGATGTCCCAAGTGCTTGCCCCATCACCCACACAGGATACTCAGAAGTTGTTTCCGGCTCCTGGCTTCAGATTGGCCCAGCTTGAACTGTTGTGACTATTTGGGGAGTGAACCAGTGATTGGAAGAGCTTACTCTCTTTCTCTCTGTCTCTTTCTCTCTCTAAATCTGCCCTTCATATAAATAAATAAATCTTCACTTGATCTTAGCCAAAAGGCCAAGAAGTGATAATAAATAAATCGTAAAAAAAAAAAAAAAATAGAGGGAGAGATTTTCTATCTGCTGTTCACTCCCCAAATGGTCACAATGGCCAGGGATGGGCTAGGCAAAAGCTAGAAGCCAGGAGCTCCCTCCAGGTCTCCCACACGGGTGCAAGGGCCCAAGCACTTGGGCCATCTGCTGCTGCTTTTCCAGGTGCATTAGCAGGGAAACTTGATCAGAAGTAGAACAGCCAGGGCTTGACCCAGTGCCCATATGGGATGCTGGTGCTGCAGTTGGTGGTGACTTTATCCTTTATCCTCTACACCACGATGCCAGCCCTGGACCTTTGATAAAAATGCTTACAAAGCGCCTCCACTTGTATGATATTAATTGCATGGATATATCCTAGAGCTCAGAGATGATTTGTGGTGGTTGGCATGTGTAGTCAGGGCCTGAAGAAAGGGTTCACAGTTAGCTTAGAAGGTGAGTTGAGTATGAAGGGCCTTTTGGAGGTAAAATCTGTAGGGCTTGGAATCTGAGTAGATGTTCGTTATCAGGGAGAACAAAGAGTTAGATAATACCGAGATTTTAAGGTTATGCTTCTGGGAAGGATGTTGCTATTCACAGAGATAGGGAGATCACGCAGAGAATTTAGCAAGTTTGTTTTTGAAAATTAGATTGAGAAGCAGGTGGGTATTTTAGGTGATGTTATCAGATGAACAGTTTGAAATTTGAGGTTAAGATTGGGGTCGGGGCCGGCGCTGCGGCTCACTAGGCTAATCCTCCGCCTAGCAGCGCTGGCACACCGGGTTCTAGTCCCGGTCAGGGCACCGGATTCTGTCCCGGTTGCCCCTCTTCCAGGCCAGCTCTCTGCTGTGGCCCGGGAGTGTAGTGGAGGATGGCCCAAGTCCTTGGGCCCTGCACCCCATGGGAGACCAGGAAAAGCACCTGGCTCCTGGCTCCTGCCATCGGATCGGCGCGGTGCGCCGGCCGCAGCACGCTGGCCGCGGCGGCCATTGGAGAGTGAACCAACGGCAAAGGAAGACCTTTCTCTCTGTCTCTCTCTCTCTCACTGTCCACTCTGCCTGTCAAAAAAAATAAATAAATAAATAAAATAAAAAATAAATAAAAGATTGGGGTCAGGTGTTTTGGTAATTAAAAATTCATTGTTGACTACAAAAAATGTTAGAGTGTGGTGGAGTAAGACATCATGTTAGGAAGATAAGGAATTTGTGGGTGCTGTGGTATAACAGCTGAAGGAGCCAGGAGCAGTAGATAGGGAAGAAATGGGATGTGTTGGGGTGATGATGATCATGCATTCTTTTTTTGTTGTTGTTGTTAAAGATTATGTCAAAGGCAGGGGAGAGAGAGAAGGAGGGAAAGAAGGAGGGAGAGGAGAGGAGAGGAGAAGAGGGGAGGGGAGGAGAGGAGAGAGAGATTCTTCCATCTGCCAGGTTACTGCCCAAATGGCTGCAACAGCCAGGGCTAGGCTAGACTAAAGTCAGGAGCCAAGAGCTTCTTCCCATCTCCTATGTAGGTACAGGGACCCAAGTACTTGGGCCATCTTCTGCTGCTCTCCCAGGCATATTAGCAGGGAGCTGGATCAGAAGTGGAACAGCTAAGACTCAAACTGGTGTGCATATGCGATACCTTCAGGCAGAGGCTTAACCTTCTACACCACAGCACCAACCCCTGCATTCTTTAAGTGCAGAGAGGATAAGAGTTAGCTGAACTGTAAGAGTATTTTGAGGTAGAGAGGTGATAAATTTGAGGAACTTCCAATAGAAAACTTCTTTGTATAGGATTGGGCTAGATCACTTACAGAGTGAGAAAGATGAGGATTTGGTTGTAAAAAGAAAGCAGAAGGCCTCCCTCTCAAACCCCATTCCACCCCGCCCCCCTCGCCCAACCTGGGAGGATTAAGCTGTCACCTAGTGGCAGCTTCTGCTTGGCCCAGCCCTGGTTGTTGAAGCCATCTGGGGAGTGCACCAGTAGATCGATCTCTCTGTCTCTCCTTCTTTCTCTCTCTCTATGTCTCTACCTTTCAAATAAATAAATAAATTTAAAAAGAAAAAGCAAAGGTTAGGATAGCAGATGTTGGAAGTGTTCAGGGAACTCAAGAAAAGATGAATCAAAGAGGTTCAACATTATGAATTTTCATTGACTGCAGTCAGCATAGTTTGTTGCTTTCCAGTAGTTCCTAGAAGAACCAAGTTCAGAACCAAGAATTAGAAATCAAGGAACATGGGGAAAACTGAGAAGTTTGAGAGTTTGTTAGCCAGTTACTAGTTCATAAATGGAGCAGAAGTGAGTGAAACACTGCTTGCAGGCTGTTAGTTCTGGCAGTGCGTGAGGGAGATGTTCAAAGCTGACACTTTAAATGGCTATTTGGAATTACTGATGGTTTTTAGGTATCCATGCTAAATCTCCCTGTTAAGGGAATATTTAATAAAAAAGAGCCTCAATGTCTTTCTTGCACATCCTGGCCTGGCCTTATATAGCTTTGCTCATTGCTTCTTTGTTTTTATCATCTCTGAAGCAGAAATAGCTATAGCTTCCTTTTACCTTGGTTGGGTGCTTCATCAGTGATTTTGTACCATGTACATCTTTTATTAGGTACTGTCATGACTTAATGACAAGATTTTTGGGAAGCATTTTTCTTTTTTAAAAAATATTTTATTTATTTATTTGAGAAGTTAGTTACAGCCTGAGAGAGGGAGAGACAGAGAAAAGTCTTCCATCTGCTGGTTCACTCCCCAAATGGCCACAATAGCCAGGGATAGGCCAATCCAAGGCCAGGAGCCAGGAACAACTTCTGCATCTCCCACGCTGGTACAGGGGCCCAAGCACTTCGTCCATCTTTTGTTGCTTTCTTTGGGAAACATTTTCCTAATGCATCTTTTATGAGCTACTTTTATTCTCTATTTTTTTTCATGTTTCTTTATTAAATGTTCACTTTCTTTAAAGCAGATATGAAGAAAACTCCACAGCATGAAATTGAAGCCATTCTGCAGAAGAGGATTATGGTGCTGGATGGAGGGATGGGGACCATGATCCAACAGTACAAACTCACTGAAGAACACTTCCGAGATCAAGAATTTAAAGACCATGCCAGGCCTTTGAAAGGCAACAATGACATTTTAAGTATAACTCAACCTGATATCATTTACCAGATCCATAAGGTAAAGTATTCTTACACACTTATGTCTTATGTATCTCTTATATTAGACCGGCAGAGTGGACAGTGAGAGAGAGAGAGACAGAGAGAAAGGTCTTCCTTTTGCTGTTGGTTCACCCTCCAATGGCCGCCGCGGCTAGTGCACTGCGGCCGGCGCACCGCGCTGATCCGATGGCAGGAGCCAGGTACTTATCCTGGTCTCCCATGGGGTGCAGGACCCAAGTACTTGGGCCATCCTCCACTGCACTCCCTGGCCACAGCAGAGAGCTGGCCTAGAAGAGGGGCAACCGGGAAAGAATCCGGTGCCCTGACTGGGACTAGAACCCGGTGTGCTGGCGACGCAAGGCGGAGGATTAGCCTATTGAGCCGCGGCGCCGGCTGTATTCTTACACATTTATTTAAGTTTTTTCTTGTACCAAGGTCAGACCACTGTGCTAGGTGTTCTGGGGAGTACAAAAGAAAGAGGGATTTATTCAGAAAGCAGATATTGGGTATCAAATAAAAGTCATGTATTCTGGTAGTCACTTGGAATAAGATGAGGAAGATAGTTTTGCTGCTCTTGAGGTGTTTAAACTCCAGTGAAAAACATTAAAAATATGGACAAATGAAGGGTTTCATATTTACTATTTTATTTAAATCACCAAAACAGCCTTATGAAGAAATATTGAGAGGTGGTATCTTAGTTCAGGCTACTATGAAAAATTACCATAAAGTAAATGGCTTCATAACATACATTTATTTCTCCTAGTTCTGGAGGCTAAGAAGGCCATGACTGAGATCTAGTAGATCTGGTGTGTGGTGAAGGCCTGCTTCCTGGTTTACAGACAGCCATCTTCTTGTTCTCACACTGTGGAAAGCAAAAAGAGAATGCAAGGTGTTGGAAGGTGTATCAGTCAGCTTTTTGTTACTTTTAATGAAAATAACTGAGACCTTCTTAGGAAGGAAGAAGGTTTACTTCAGCTTACAGTTTTGGTGGTTCACAGTCCAAGATTGGGTGGCCCCATTAGTTTGGCATCTAATAAGAATGCACGTGGAGGGTCTCACATGAGGAACCCAGGAGCAAGGAGACACAGTGGGGCACTCTTTATGTACCCTCTGTGTGGTCTTTCCTTACAATGCTATCATGACTTGAGTTTTGAGCTGCTTCCTAGCAACCTGATGTAAGCTGATCATTTTTCTAAAGCTCCTCCTTCAGACTCCACAACAGGATCAAGCCTCCATTTTAATCCTTCAACCATTAAATCCATTAACCAAATTTTACATTAAGTAAAATTTTGGAGTTTAAATGTCTGCATGACATTGGGAGTCAAATTTTGTTCAGTCCATCAACAAAGGACATTGCTATGGTCTCAATGTCCATGTCTCCCAAGATCTCTTTTTCTATTTTTTTTTTTTTAAAGATCTATTTATCCATTTGAAAGAGCTACAGAGAGGGAGAGACACAGAGAAAGAGATCTTCCATCTGATGGTTCACTCCCCAGATGGCTGCAATAGCCAAGTCGAAGCCAGGACCAGTAGTCTCCTTTGGATCTCCAATATGGGTGACAGGAGCCCAAGCACTGGGGCCATCTTCTGCTGCCCCTCCCAAGCCACCAGCAGGGAGCTGGACTGGAAGTAGAGCAGCTGACATGAACCAGAATCCATATGGGATGCCAGTATTGCAGGCAGTGGCCTCACCCATTACGTCAGAATGCCAGCCACATCTCCCAAGATTTCTATTTGCCCAATATTGGGTGTATTAGGAGGTACCCTTATAAAAGAGGCCAAAGGGAGCTTATTAACCTCTCTCACCACGTGAGAACACAGAAGATACTATCTATGAACCAGGAAACAGGCTCTCACCTGTTAGAAAATTCTAAGATGTAAATACCATTCATGTGTTTTAATTTCTATTTTGGTCTGATTTTCTGTACTTGGATATTTTTAAAAATATTATTTATTTATTTGAAAAGCACTTCCTAGATGCCTGCAGTTGTCATGGCTGGGCCAGGTAAAAACCGGGAGCCCAGAACTCAATCTTAGTCTCCCACATTGGTGGCAGGGACCCAGGTACTTGGGCCATCACTGCTGTGTTCCAGGGTGTGCATTAGCTGGAAGCCTAAATCAGAAGTGGAGCTGGGATTCAAACCCAGGCACTCAATGTTGGGGTGTGGGTGCTCTAAATGGCTGCCTAACTACTGTGCCAGGTGGTTGCCTCTATAATTTTTGGATTTCTAAGTTAGATTGTTTCATATGAGGGTACTTGTAAAAGCTTGTAGAAAAATGGAATCAAAAAATAAGTTTATTTGGGTGCAAGAAATTTTTGAAATCCATTATGATAAGCATTTTCCATGAACTCTTTGAAGTACCTTTGTACGGTTTGATTTGCATTTTTTGTGTTAGCATTAAATATTCAATTTACTTAACACCTCTTCCTAGGTATTAAAGTAGTTTTTAATTTTTCTTGCTCTTTTTAAAAAATATTAAATTTTAATTAATTTGTTATTATTTATATTTTTCAAGATAACTTTCTCAGAGGAGAGGAGTCACAGTAAAGCACCCTTCCTCTTTGCTGAGGCTGCTTGGGTACAGGCTCCAAACACAGCTTGGTGACTGGGAGTCTTGTGGTTCAATTCCCAGCCATCCTCCTCAGCCTTTTTTTTAAAGATTTATATATTTATTTGAAAGGCAGGGTTATAGAGAGGGAGAGGCAGAGTCAGAGAGAAAAAGGTCTTCCATCCGCTGGTTTACACCCTAAATGGCTGCAACGGCCAGGGCTGGGCTTGGCTGAAGCTAGGAGTCAGGAGCTTCTTCTGGGTCTCCCACGTGTGTGCAGGGGCGAAGCCTTTAGGCCATCTTCTGCTACTTTCTGAGGTGCATCAGTAGGGAGCTGGATGGGAAATGGAGCAGTCAGGACTCAAACCCAAGCCCACTAAGGCTGTTGGTGCTGCAGGTGGTGACTTAACTTGCTATGCCAGCGCTGGCCCCTTAATTTGTACTTATAAAAAACAAACCCATAAATAAGAATAAGTTCTGATTTGACTGCCATTCCAAATTACCATTTTTTTCTCCAGAGGCAATGGCTGTTACTAGTTGGTATAGTCTTTCCAAATCCTTTTAAAAATGTATTTATATGTTTATACATGTGCTGGTAGAAAACTCAGTACTGTTCATGTGTAAACTTAATGGTTTCATGCTTCTTTTTCTATTTCTGTTTTCTATTCATTATCTTAACTACATCAGCATATGTAAATATATATTTTGCACTCTATAACATGTAACAATAGATATACTGAAGTTTATTTCTCTATTGAAGGATATTTGGAATGTGACATAAATTATTATAAATGTATATATGTTATTATAAATGTGTATATGTTGGTTTTTATTTCCCAGTTCTTCTTCAGACACTGCTCATTAGCTCAGGAAGGGTTGAGTTTTTTTGCTTTTGGAAAATAAAGAGGGTCGAGAGTCTCTAGGGAATTGGGTTGATGTTGAGGTGGAAGACTGATTTCCAACAGGGAGGACAGAAGGGCACAGAAGTCTGCAAGGTTCCAGGGTTGGAGATTTGAGGTTTCAGAGAATGGTACTTTCAGTATGCTTATTGAGAAGGTAGGGGAAGCATGGAGAAGGTAAGGGCACAGAAGTAATGTTTGTTAAGTGCCCCTTAAATGCCAGATACTTACTGTGTTATCTTGAGTTATCATATAGCCACCTTGTTTACACAGAAGGGTTATGATACTTACAAATGAGGAGACTGAGACTCAGTTTAAGGAATTTGACTAAATTTGCATAACTTAGTATATTAACTTTGACTTCAGGTTCTGTGCTGTATATTTAAACCTCATGTCTTTCTGTGACACACTTATACCATGTGCATCTCTAGCTTCTAGTGGAGTGCCTCACTTTTAGTCGGTGGTCAAACGTGGTTGTTGATGGTGTTGATGAAAGGACATCCTTATTTTTGGGGAACAGGGACTCTGAAACTCCTAAAAATTGACTTTACTATTTCATGTTGTAGGAATACTTGCTGGCTGGGGCAGATATCATTGAGACAAATACTTTTAGCAGCACTAGGATTGCCCAAGCTGACTACGGCCTTGAACATTTGGTAAGAATTCCATTTTTGCTCCTATCTAAGAAGTTTATCAGCATTTGCTGCATTAGTAATTGCTAGTGAGAAAACCACCCGAAGCTACAGAGTCAAGCTAATACCTAGTTATCTGTTGTTTTGGTTGAGACAGGGAAAGTAGTTTGAATTTCTTCTTAATAACAGCCCATTTATTTCCCAACTGTCTGCTTTAATGGGCAAGAAATAATCAAATGAAAATTATACTTATATGCAGAGACTATTGATAAAGGCATACTCTTTAGTTGTGTACACATAGTTTTATGAGGCCTTTTAAAGCATTTGTTGGTAGATGTGTTTTTTCTTTCCTTTTTTTTTTTCTTTTTAAGATTTATTTATTTATTTGAAAGGCAGAGTTACAGAGAGGCAGAGAGAGAGAGAGAGAGGTCTTCCATCTGCTGTTCATTCCCTAAATGGCCACAATGGCTGGAGCTGCACTGATGCAAAACCAGGAGCCGGGAGCTTCTTCTGGGTCTCCCACACTGGTGCAGGAACCCAAGTGTCTGGGCTGGCTTCCACTCATTTCCCAGGCCACAGCAGAGAGCTGGATCGGAAGTGGAGCAGCTGGGACCCAAACTGGCACCCACATGGGATTCTGGCACTGCAGGCGGCGGCCCTACCTGCTAAACTGCAGCACCGGCCCTGTAGATGGTTTTTTAAATTGGGGCAAAATACACATACAATTTACCATCTTAACTATTTTATTTCTTCTGAAACTAATACTTTACTGTTTCCTTGAAGATAAATCACGTTAATTTGGATTTTAAACAAATGATTTTTTTTCATAGAAAGGTATTTATATTGTTTTTCTGATTATAGAAACAATGTGTACTATAGAAAATTTAAAGTCGATCCATCATCTCATCTTAATGATTTTTAAGTGTAGAGTTTAGTGACATTAATTATACTCAGGTTATTTTGCTGTCATCACTGCCATTCATCTGTAGAACTTTTTATTTTGCAAAACTGAAACTTTATATCCGTTAAACAATAATTCCTCATTTTCTCCATTTCACTGTCTCTGGCATCCACCATTCTAACTTCTGTCTCAATGAATTTGACTATCCTTGTACCTCATATAAGTTGAATCATGTAGTGTTTAACCTTTTATAATTGATTTAATTCACTTAGAATAATGTCAGGAATTCATCCATGTTGTAGTATGTATCAGAATTTCTTTTATTAAAGTTGAAAATATTCCACTGTATGTGTATACCACATTGTCTTTCTGTATTCATTTGTCAGTGGACATTTGTTTTGCTTCTGCTCGTTTGCTATTGTGAATATGCAATGGTGCTACTATGAATATGTGTATGTAAGTATTTACTTAGTCCCTGCTTTTAGTTCTTTTGCACACACACACAGAGAAATGGGATTGCTGAATCATACAATACTTCTGTTTTTAATTTTTTGAGGGACTGTCATACTGTTTTCCTTTATCATATATACTGTTTTCTCTAGCACCTGCAACCTCTTATATGTCACCAGCAGTGTACAAGGGTTCCAATGGATGTATTGCCAGTGCTTGTTATATCCTGTTGTTTATTATTTTTTGATGGCTTTCTTAGTGGATGTGGGTGGCAGATATAGTTTCCTTTTAATCAACATGATACTTCTATTTTAAAATTTTTGTAAAATGTTAAGAATGGAAATACATGGTAGATGCTGAAGTCCCCATTTTTGTATAGGATTTTTCCAGATATATACATCTGTTTCCATGTAAGTACTCCTGAATACTCTGACACTGATTCCTCTCATATTATTGATCCTTGTGAGATCAAATGTCTGTTGAGTTATCAAGAGAAAATAAAATTATGTTCTGGTTACTTCTGCAATACTTAAAGACAGGAGTTGACAAACTGTTTCTTGAAAGGACTGGGTAGTAAATAATTTAGGCTTTCTTAGCTACATAGGGTCTCTTGTAACTGTTCATATCTGTGATATGTAAATAATGGTTGTGGTGGTGTTTCAGTAAAACAAAACCAAACAAAACACAACAAGAAACGAAAACTACAGACCAATATCTTTGAGAACATAGATGGAAAAATTCTTAATGAAATGTAGCAAATGAAATCCAAAAGCATATAAGGTTCATACACCATAATCAAGTAGAATTTATCCCAGGAAAGCAAGGAGGGTTAAACATTTGCAAATCAATAAATGTAATAAATCACATCAGCATAATGAGGAACAAATTCTATATGATCATCTCACTAGAGGCAGAAAAGGCTTTTGATAAGATTTAACACCCCTTCATGATAAAAACTCTCAACAAATAAGATATAAAAGGAATGAGCCTCAAAATAATAAAGCTGTGTATGGCAGCTCCATAGTCAATATCATAATGAATGGGGAAAAGCTGAACTCTTTTAAGATCTGGAACTAGACAAGGATGTCCACTTGCAATACCTTATTTGTGATACTTTATCAAATTTTCAGGAAGATAATAATCTACAAGAAGTTCAAATTCACTGAATCTATCTATTGGGCAGTGAAGGAAGTCAAGGCCAGTGGAAGTTGCTATGGGAACTAATGGTTTTGTTTTACTGAAACACCACCACAACCATTATTTACATATCACAGATATGAACAGTTACAAGAGACCCTATGTAGCTAAGAAAGCCTAAATTATTTACTACCCGGTCCTTTCAAGAAACAGTTTGTCAACTCCTGTCTTTAAGTATTGCAGAAGTAACCAGAACATAATTTTATTTTCTCTTGATAACTCAACAGACATTTGATCTCACAAGGATCAATAATATGAGAGGAATCAGTGTCAGAGTATTCAGGAGTACTTACATGGAAACAGATGTATGTATCTGGAAAAATCCTACACAGAAATGGGGACTTCAGCATCTACCATGTGGTATGGGAACTGCTGAGTCACAGCACAGTGGCCTGAATATAGTTCACAATTAACATATTTTCTGAGCAAGTAGAAGAGGGGAGTGAAAAGGAGTCAAGCATAAATAATGAGAGGCATAGGAAATGTTGATTACCTTGATTTGATCAGTGTACATTGTATACTTTTATTGGACTACCACAGTGTACCCTATAAACAGTTACAACTATTAAGGGTTAATGAAAAGTTAAAAAGCTAAAGGAGATAGTTATGCTGTCTAGTCTAATTTGATCACACTTTAAATACATGTAATGAATTGTACTGTAGCTAATAGATATGTATAGTTAAAATAATAAAACTTTATTTATAAAAATAGGCATTGGTCTGTATTTGCCCTGTAGGTCATAGGTAGTGTGCCAGCTTTCTATTTAGGATCTTCTCATTTCTTATATACCTGATGGGAGAATCCAAGGTACATAAAATCTTAGATTGGAAGGGATTGTAAAGATCATAAGTCTAGGACCTTCTGATCTGGTCTGTGCAAGAGTTTCCAAATGGCCATGGACCTCTTTAAATTATACACAGCACTTTGTGCTAGTGAGAGGTTTCATTGTCCTTTATCATATTACTGATTCCAACAATTATACAGTGAAGGAAATGAAGGCCAGGAGAAGTTGTTAGCAGAAGGCCATGACAGAACCAGTCCTAGAGCTCAGGTCTGCCTCTGAAGCGTCTTTTCTGCATTACTCTACTTTTTCCTTAATTATATCAATTTATTCTGTGACATGCAAGATGACATGCCACTAACTAGCTTGTGGTTAGGGAGAAGAACCTAAAAGTGCTTCCCAGGAACTTTTGCCTTTCCCTGCTGCCTTTGAAGACTAGGGCATCTGATACACCTTTTTTGGCTAAGATTTTATTCAGACTTCAGATTAATGCCCGGTTTTTTTTTTTTTTTTTTTTTTTTTAAGAATAAAACTGGGTATTAGATGGCCATGAATTTCTCATTTGTCTTATGGAAGAAGTGAAGCATAAGCTAATGTTTGTGGTTGATGTTATTAGGCCTACAGGATGAACAAGTGCTCTGCGGGAGTGGCCAGAAAAGCTGCTGAGGAGATGACCCTCCAGACAGGTAAGGATTGTTCTTCCTGTTTTGATTTTTCTCAGCAATAATGTTCTATCTTTAGTTCAGGCTTTTCTATATGACCTTTGGCTTTGAGCAATGCTGCAGACGTGGTGTTTTGCTTGTTTGCAGATTACTTCTCTGCAGTTCCATAATCAGGCATTCAGCAACTTGTCGCTCCCCCTCTTCGTGGAGGAACGACACTAAACCCTGCCTAGGCTTCATATCCGAGTCACGGCACCATTGTGTCACTCCCCCTCTTCGTGGAGGAACGACACTAAACCCTGCCTAGGCTTCATATCCGAGTCACGGCACCATTATGTCGCTCCCCCTCTTCGTGGAGGAACGACACTAAACCCTGCCTAGGCTTCATATCCGAGTCATGGCACCATTATGTCGCTCCCCCTCTTCGTGGAGGAACGACACAGGACCCTGCTGTGGGGAGCAACTCGGACTAGACTAAGTTACTGGAATTAAGACTTATTCTATGCACCTGCTCTCCCACAATATGGCGCTGGGAGAGGAGAAAACAGTTTCTACCCAGCTGCCTCTCACCAACTTGACAAACTGTAGGACCTGCTCCTGATTGGAGGAGAGCAGCGTGCTCGGCGTGTGGGCAGCCGAGTTGGGATTGGTGGAAGAGGACTATAAAGGAGGAGAGAGACAACATGCACCAGGAACATCTAAGGGGAACATCTATCTGAAGGAACACCTGTGCAGCCCCCGAGAGAGCCGGCCAGCGGTGTGCCACTCCCCCGCGGAAGTGGGGAAAGTGGCTAGGGGGAACCGCCCTTCCACGGAGGTGGAAGGGACGGTAGCCAACTCTGGAAGAACCAGCAGCAAACCCGGGGAGGGCCGAGCAGACAAAAGAACAGCGCAGGGTCCTGTGTCGTTCCTCCACGAAGACGGGGGAGCGACATAATGGTGCCGTGACTCGGATATGAAGCCTAGGCAGGGTTTAGTGTCGTTCCTCCATGAAGAGGGGGAGCGACACCCTGCGTTGTTCTTTCGTCTGCTCGGCCCTCCCGGGGTTTGCTGCTGGTTCTTCCCGGGTTGGCTACCGTCCCTTCCACCTCCGTGGAAGGGCGGTTCCCCCTGCCACTTTCCCCACTTCCGCGGGGGAGCGGCACACTGCCGGCCGGCTCTCTCAGGGGCTGCTCAGGTGTTCCTTCAGATAGATGTTCCTGGTGCATGTTGTCTCTCTCCTCCTTTATAGTCCTCTTCCACCAATCCCAACTCTGCTACCCACACGCCGAGTACGCTGCTCTCCTCCAATCAGGAACAGGTCCTGCTGTTTATTGGTTGAACTAGAGGCAGCTGGGTAGAAACTGTTTTCTCCTCTCCCAGCGCCATATTGTGGGAGAGCAGGTGCATAGAATAAGTCTTAATTCGAGTAACAGTCTAGTCCGAGTTGCTCCCCACACAACTCTGTGAATTGATGCATCCCTGTGGGTCTTGGGCTTAAGCTTTACTCTTGTACACTGCTGGTGATTAGCTTGTTTTTGTAGCTAGGTCCTTGATTTCCTTGTATATTTAGAGCTAAAATAATTTTTCTTTTCTAGAAGCACATTATCAGGTTATTGAAGTAACAGTAGGCTATTTTAATTATTTGATTATCATTAGGAATTTTGGTCTCATCCCTTTAAAGCCACCTTGCTCCCTATGATTGGCTTAGTTAGAAAGATAGCCCTTTTAGCATTTCCTCTTTCTACTGCTGATGTCTTTGAAGACCCTGCTACACACTGAAGAACATTAGATTCAGTCTTGCTAGGACTTGACAAGAGGATCTTGAAATAATCTCCTGGCTGGCTGTCATCAGAACACTTGGGCCCCAGTTAGTGGGAGGCTTTGGGGGAGAGAAAGGAATGGAAGAAATAAATGGAGCCCCTTAACATTTGGAAATGCGGTTATTGCCAACAGGAACAATATAGAGCAAAATTGTTAGGAAGTTAGATACAGCATGCTAATGAAGACCAAAACAATTTACTGGAAGTCTGTTTCTGAGAGACAATGTTTAAATCCATAGAAATGCATATACTAGTACCCCAGCAGCCTTGTTGGTCAGAGGATATTTAACCAGCTGATACAGGGAGAGAAAAGGCATTTTTCTTATACTCACATTATTACCCCACTTTGGGGAAGATAAAGAAATTTTGGACCTATAACCTGTTCAAAGGCAGGGTTATCAAGTAGTTGGTGGTTTTCTCCAGTTCACTTGAAAAGCATAACCCAGTTATTCAGTGGCTGTAATCACCAAAGGTAATGAACAGTATGACCCCTGGCTTATGCTATTTTATATTAATGAACAGAACTTCTCAGGCTGTTTTAGAAGTATCTGGACTCTAATCTAGAGGAAACTTTATTAAAGAATTATTAAAATAAAATTTAATCTTCTTCATACTTCCATTGCAGGCTTTAAAATTGTTAATCTTGATTTAATAATTAACCTCAGTGAAGAGCCTCCATTATAGTACTGGAGAACATTTTAAGTTGAGTGCTACTGTGAGGCAGTTTTTCAGAGGCTCAGTTAAGTTCAGGACCTTCACAATTTATTTATAGAAAGAATTTGTCCAAATACAGCTTTGTTTATGGAAAGGGATTACTTACTGAAACAGTTTGAGGTCAGCTGTATGAGAATTCAGTTTTTTGGATTGCTTGATCACAATATATGCCTAATTCCTTTCACATATTTACCAGTGGATCTGAGCAGGCCCTGTGAACAAATGTATGTTAGCAAAATCTATGAATCATGTCTCTATGTGAGATAAGGACTACAAATAGCCTCTTGTTAGTTTAGTAGAGGTCAAATTTTATTGTCAAATAAATTTGGAAGAAAATTGGGGTCTTTAGGAAATTTCTGGATTTCAAAGTTGTGAACAGAGGATTGTAGACCAAGAAGAATCTTACAGCCTAGTGATTCACAACAGAAGAATGGAACTGTTGGGCCTGGTGTTGTGGCATAGTTGGTAAAGCTGCTGCCTGTGATGCTGCATCCCATGTGGATGCTGGTTCTTGTCCTGGCTGCTCCATTTCTACTCTGGCTCTCTGCTATGGCCTGGGAAAGCAGCAAAGGACAGCCCAAGTACTTGGGCTCCTGCAACCATGTGGGAGACCAGGAAGAAGCTTCTGGCTCCTAGCTTTGGCCTAGCCCAGCCCTAGCCATTGGAGCCATTTGGAAAGTGAACCAGAAGGTGGAAGATCTCTCTCTCGCTCTCTCTCTGACTTTCAAATAAATAGAATAAATCTTAAAAAAAAAATTGAACTATTGAGAAATTTCACATTTGTTTTTCTTTTCCCAAAGGAATTAAGAGATTTGTAGCAGGAGCTCTGGGTCCAACTAATAAGACACTCTCTGTGTCTCCATCTGTGGAAAGACCAGATTATAGGAACATCAGTGAGTATTTATCATATGTAATCATTGAGCTTGGGCGAGTACTTTTGTGCTTTAGGAATCTGTAAATCTGTAAGATGTGATCAACAGTAGGGTCTGCTTCAGAGTTACTATGACTTCATCTGTGTAAAGAATTCACAACCATGCCTGGAATATAGCAGACATCTTTTTATTATTGTTTGAGTTTCTTTCAGATGTACATGGTGTGTCAGTTCTCCTTTATCAGCTGTGGAAGAAAACAACTGAAATAAAGCTTTACACTGAGAGGCTGAGAAAATGTGGATACTAGATCTTGGTCTATTATATAATAGTCTACTATATTCCCATTTAGTTTATCAGAATACAGTCCAAATTATCTAAACATACTAGCATTATAAACATTAAAAACTAGTGCATTTGTGAAAACATACTTGTTATGAAAGTTGACAAAAATTTCAGAAATGGTCAATTTCTAAGCATCAAGATTATAAAAATAATTAAAATGTTAGAACTAAATAGTAATGTTACTGAATATGATAATGGGTTTTATGTACATGAAAAACTTAGGCAAGTATAGTTAGTAAGCTTTTAATGACAGAATTTTGCACATCACAACACCACACTTTTCACGAGGTATTGCTTATGCTGGGCTTATGTGTGATTGGTATTCTTTGGTCTAGACCTGACAGAGGGGAGTGAACCTCTTTACTGTTGTGCAGAGTGAGGTGAGAAATACAACAAACATAAATTGGTCATTTAGACTTCTCTGTTGAATAGCTGAGCATTTCTTTTTTTTTTTTTTTTTCCTTTTTGGGTTTAAAGGTAAAGTGGGGAGAAGGATTACCTCTCAGGTGGAAGTAGATAACCCAAGAGATTTCAAACAAAAATTTTATTTAAGAGTAATTGAATATTTTTTGGTTTGAGATTCAAATTGCCTATCAGACAGCTTTCCTTTCTGACAGAGTTGGTGTAAGGGCAGAAGCAAAATCCACTGAACTACAGCCTTTTATGACAGAGTGAGTCTTTGACTCAACCTGTGATGTATCAAATCAGTGTGACAAGTTTCTCACACTCATCTCTTAATGGCTGATTGAGATGAACTGTGGAGAATGATACATTGCATAGTTCAAGAAATTCCTATACCTTCCTACTCACTTCTCAGCTCAAACATGGGAAGTGGAGATTATATAGGAAGTGTTTAAGAGCATCTACATTCACTGTTTATCTTCCATCACTGCGTATTTTTTTATTTGGTTTCTTATAAAAGGTAGTGTTGTCCTCAAACTATATGCTATAAACCAGCAGTAGTTCAGAGGGGCTGGATCTGAACTCACTACCCTCGGGTCATTCAGAAGATACAGATGAGCTGGATGTGATTTATTTTTTGCAGCATTTGATGAGCTTGTTGAAGCATACCAGGAGCAGGCCAGAGGTCTTCTGGATGGTGGGGTTGACATCTTACTCATTGAAACTATTTTTGATACTGCCAATGCCAAGGTGAGTTAAAAGAATTAAAGGGATAAGGCTGGGTTGAGGGCTGTGAGCTATCCCGCAATATAGTGAGAAGATAATAATCCAAGTTAAGTAAATTTTGTGTATTTGCTTCCTTTTATCCTTGAATATTTTTAACTGAGGCCAGTAGAGGAAGAAAAATGTCAGTGGAGTTGTCTTTTTAGCTTTTAAAACATTTTTTATCTGATTATGAATATATAGCTACTATATGTATATATATTATATATCCATACATACTCATTGTAAATTCAAAAGGTACATAACTATACGTAGTGATAAGTAAATATCCTTCCTCTCCTAATCCTTGGCTCTCCAGCTGTCTTCCTAGACCCACGATTATAGTTTGGGGTTCTGACAGATTCTCTGCAAATATAAACATATGTGTGTGATCCTGTGTTTGTGTTCTTTACAAATGTACAAAGGTATATAAGTGTATGAAGTGAAAAGTAATATTCTTATACATATGTCTTTGCACAGTATATCTAAATGATATGTTTTGACAAGGGAAATTGCTGAGTCAGATTTTATCTTTAGTGTCAAATTACCCTCCATTTGCATTCATTTATACTCCCATAAGCAAACAGGGTCAAAAAGTGCTGATTTTATTATACCTTCTGTAACACCAGATATTCTTAAACTCTTTGAACTTTTCCAGTTTAAAAAGTGAAAAATGTGACCTCACTGTAATTTTAATTTTTGTATTTCTTACTATAAATTGAGCATCTTTAGTTTTAGAGGTAATTACAGTTCCTTTTCTGTAATTTATGTACTGTGCCTTTATTGTATTGGATTTTTGGTGCTTTTTTAAATTTTTATTTAATAAATACAAATTTCAAAAGTACAACTTTTGGATTATAGCAGCTTTCCCTCCCCCCCATAACCTCCCTCCCACCTGCAACCATCCCATCTCCTACTCCCTCTCCCATCTGATTCTTAATTAAAATTAATTTTTAATTATCTTTATATACAGAAGATCAACTTAGTATATACTAAGTAAAGATTTCAACAGTTTGCAACCACACAGACACACAAAGTATAAAGTACTGTTTGAAGACCAGTCTTACTGTTAATTTGCATAGTACAATAGGATCTCTACATGGGGAGTAAGTGCACAGTGACTCCTGTTGTTGATTTAACAATTGACACTCTTATTTATGACGTCAGTAATCACCCGAGACTCTTGACATGAGCTGCCAAGGCTATGGAAGCCTCTTGAGTTCAAAAATTCCGATCTTATTTAGACAAGGCCATAGTCAAAGTAGAAGTTCTCTTAACCCTTCAGAGAAAGGTACCTCCTTCTTTGATGGCCCGTTCTTTCTGCTGGGATCTCACTCACAGAGATCTTTTATTTAGGTTGTTTTTATTTATTTATTTATTTTTTTTGCCACAGTGTCTTGGCTTTCCATGCCTGTGTAACTCTCATGGGCTTTTTAGCCAGATCTGAATGCCTTAAGGGCTGATTCTGAGGCCAGAGAGCTGTTTAGGGCATTTGCCATTCTGTGAGTCTGCTGTGTATCCTGCTCCCATGTAGGATCATTCTCTCCTTTTTAATTCTATCAGGCATTATTAGTGGACACTAGTCTTGTTTATGTGATCCCTTTGACACTTAATCCTATCTTTCTGATCACTTATGAACTTAAACTGATCACTTTAACAAGTAAGATGACATTGGTACATGCCACCTTGATGGGACTGATTTGGAATCCCATGGCACGTTTCTAGCTCTACCATTAGTGCTAAGTCTGAGTGAGCATGTGTCGAACTGTATATCTCCTCCCTCTCTTTTCCCTCCCTTGTTTTTAGCAGGGATCACTTTTCAGTTAATTTTAAATGCCTAAGAATAATTGTGTGTTAATGAAAGAGTTCAACCAATGGTATTAGGTAGAACAAAAAAAAAATACTAAAAAGAATAAAATAGTAAGCTGTTCCTCGACAGTCAGGACAAGGGCTGATCAAGTCATTATTTCTCATAGTGTCCATTTCACTTCTACAGGTTTCCTTTTAGGTGCTCAGTTAGTTGTCACATATCAGGGAGAACATATGATATTTGTCCATTTGGGACTGGCTTATTTCACTCATCATGATGTTTTCCAGATTCCTTCATTTTGTTGCAATTGAACAGCTTTCATTTTTTTTTTACTGCTGTATAGTATTTTATAGAATACATATCTCATAATTTCTTTATCCAGTCTTCTGTTGATAGGCATTTAGGTTGATTTCATGTCTTAGTTTAGCTTTGAATTCCATGTCTTAGATATTGTGCTGCAATAAATATTGAGATGCAGAGAGCTCTTTTATTTGCTGATTTAATTTCCCTTGGGTAAATTCCAAGGAGTGGATGGCTGGGTCATATAGTAGGGCTATATTCAGGTTTCTGAGGAATCTCAACTGTCTTCCATAGTGGCTTTACCAGTTTGCATTCCCACCAACAGTGATTTAGTGTCCCTTTTTCCCCACATCCTTGCCAGCATCTGTTGTTAGTTGATTTCTGTATGTGAGCCATTCTAACCAGGGTGAGACGAAACCTCATTGTTGTTTAGATTTGCATTTCCCTGATGGCTAGTGATCCTGTGCATTTTTCTATGTGTCTGTTGGCCGTTTGGATTTCCTTTTTTTTTTTTTTTTGTGGTGAAAAACCTTTTATTTAGAATTAGCCATCTGGACTCAGTTCAGATGATCCCAATTTTGTTGGCAACGTCCAGAGCATCATAGTCAGGAGCCAGCTGCACATATGCCTTCTTCTCTCCATCAGGTCTGATCAGGGTGTTGACTTCGGCCACATCAGTGTCATAGAGTTTCTTCACAGCTTGTTTGATCTGGTGCTTGTTGGCCTTGACATCCACAATGAACACCAGTGTGTTGTTGTCTTCTATCTTCTTCATGGCCCACTCCGTGGTCAGGGGGAACTTGATGATGGCATAGTGATCAATCTTGTTTCTCCTGGGGGTACTCTTCTGAGGGTATTTGGGCTGCCGTCAGAGGCGTAGTGTCTTGGGCCGCCGGAAGGTGGGGGATGGATGTGCGGATCTTCTTCTTGTGGCTGTGGACGCCTTTCAGCACTGCCTTCTTGGCCTTCAAGGCCTTCACTTTGGCTTTGACTTTAGGAGGGGCAGGAGCTTCCTTCTTCGCCTTCGACACCATCTTGGTGAAAAGGGTTTCTGGATTTCCTCTTTTGAACAATGTCTAGGCCGGCGCTGCAGCTCAATAGGCTAATCCTCCGCCTGCGGCACCGGCACCCCTGCTTCTAGTCCTGGTCAGGGCACCGGATTCTGTCCCAATTGTCCCTCTTCCAGTCCAGCTCTCTGCTATGGCCCGGGAGTGCTGTGGAGGATGGCCCAAGTGCTTGGGCCCTGCACCTGCATGGGAGACCATGAGAAGCTCCTGGCTCCTGCCTTCGGATCAGTGCGGTGCACCGGCCACAGCACACCAGCAGCAGCAACCATTGGAGAGTGAACCAACAGTAAAGGAAGACCTTTCTCCCTGTCTCTCTCACTGTCCACTCTGTCCAAAAAAAAAAAAAGAAAAAGAAAAATGTCTAGATCCTTTGCCCATCTCTTAAGTGGGCTGTTTGGTTTGTTGTGGAGTTTCTTGATCTCTTTGTAGATTCTGGCTATTAATCCTTTATCAGTTACATAATGTGCAAATATTTTTTTTCCCATTCTGTTGGCTGCCTGTTCACTTTCCTGACTGTTTCTTTTGTAGTACAGAAACTTCTCCATTTGATGTAATCCCATTTGTTAATTCTGGCTTTGCCTGCCTGTGCCTCTGTGGTCTTTTCCAATAAATCTTTGCCTGTGCCTATATCTTGCAGGGTTTCTCCAATGTTCTCTAATAATTTGATGGTGTTGAGTCGTAGGTATAGATCTGTAATCCATGTTGGGTGGATCTGTGTGAGTTGTAAGGTAGGGGTCTTGCTTCATGCTTCTTCACGTGGAAATCCAGTTTTCCTGGCACCGTTTATTGAATAGACTGTCCTTACTCCAGGAATTGGTTTTGGATCCTTGATCAAATATAAGTTGGCTGTAGATGTTTGGGTTGATTTCTGGTGTTTCAATTCTGTTCCATTGGTCTATCCATCTGTTTCTGTACCAGTACCATGCTGTTTTGATAACAACTGCCCTGTAGTATGTCCTGAAATCTGGTGTTGTGATGCCTCTGGCTTTGTTTTTGTTGTACGAGATTGCTTTAGCTATTCGAGGTCTCCTGTGTCTCCATATAAATTTCAGCATCATTTTTCCAGATCTGAGAAGAATGTCTTTGGTATTTTGATTGGTATTGCACTGAATCTATAAATTGCTTTTGGGAGAATGGACATTTTGATGATATTGATTCTTCCAATCCATGAGCATGGAAGATTTCTCCATTTTTTTGGTATCCTCTTCTATTTCTTTATATTTATATTTCTTTATATTTATATTTCTTTCTTTAAGATTTTGTAATTCTCATCGTAGAGATCTTTAATGTCCTTGGTTAAGTTTATTCCAAGGTATGTGATTGTATTTGTGGCTATTGTGAATGGGATCGATCTTAGAAGTTCCTTCTTAGCTGTGGCATTGCCTGTGTATACAAAGGCTGTTGATTTTTGTGCATTGATTTTCTATCCTGCTACTTTTCCAAACTCTTCTAGGAGTTCCAATTGTCTCTTAATAGAGTTCTTTGGATCCCCTAAATAAATAAAAAATAAATTCTTAGCCTATTTTAGTTCAGTCAATTCAGTATGTATTTATTGAACAGGGACCTTTTTTTTTTTTTTTTTTTAAGATTTCTTTATTTATTTGAAAGATAGAGTTACACACAGAGAGAAGGAGAGATACAGAGAGAGTTCTTTCTCAAATGGCTGCAAAAGCCAGGGATGTACCAGGCTGAAGCCAGGAGCCAGGAGCTTCTTTTGTGTCTCCCATCTGTGTGCAGGGGCTCAAGGACCTTGGCCATCCTCCGTTTCTTTTCCAAGTGCAAAACAAGGAACTGGATTGGAAATGGAGCATCCCAGACTCGAACTGGCACCCCTATGGGGTGCTGGCCCTGCAGACTGTGGCTTAACCCACTGTGCCACAGAGCCAGCCCCAAGTCTTTAAATGAGTCTTTTATTGAGGAAATCAGGCCCTTTTCAATAATGAGTAGCAAATACTGCCCTCTAGGTTGTTTAGCTTTTGATTTTATATGTGGTGGTAAGCGTATATTGTTTCATTGTGTATTTTAATGATATACGAGAATTTCAATTCTTATAGTTGACTTTCCAGAGTCTGTATTGTTTTGAAGGGGGGTGGGTATTATACTTATGGGGTACTCCTCATTCCAAGATAATGAGAAAGAATTGGTCTTTTTTTCCCATAATACTTTGTAACTTTTTTCAAACCTTTAGGATTGCTTAATTCTTAAAGAAATAAGGCCATATATTCAAAAATTTTGAACTTTTTTTTTCTTTTTTTTAGATTTATTTATTTATTTGAAAGGCAGAGTAACAGAGAGAAGGAGAGACATAGACAGAGGAAGATATTCCATCCACTGGTTCACTCCCCAGATGGCCTCAATGGCCAGAACTGGACCTGGCTGAGGCCAGGATCCAGGAGCTTCTTCTTCTTCTTCTTCTTCTTTTTTTTTTTTTTTTGACAGGCAGAGTGGATAGTGAGAGAGAGAGACAGAGAGAAAGGTCTTCCTTTGCTGTTGGTTCACCCTCCAATGATCACCACGGCTGGCACGCTGCGGCCGGCACACTGCGCTGATCCGAAGGCAGGAGCCAGGTACTTCTGGTGTCCCGTGGGGTGCAGGGCCCAAGCACTTGGGCCATCCTCCACTGCCTTCCCTGGCCAGAGCAGAGAGCTGGCCTGGAAGAGGGGCAACTGGGACAGAATCCGGTGCCCCGACCGGGACTAGAACCCGGTGTGCCGGCGCCGCTAGGTGGAGGATTAGCCTAGTGAGCTGCAGCGCCAGCCGAGGAGCTTCTGTGTCTCTCACAAGGGTGCAGGAGCCCAAGCACTTGGGCCATCTTTTACTGCTTTCCCAGGCCATAGCAGAGAGCTGGATCAGAAGTGGAGCAGCCGGGTCTTGAACCTGCGCCCATATGAGATGCTGGCACTAGAGGTGGCAGCTTTACCCGCTATGCCACAGTGCTGGCCCCATGCTCCACTTCCTATCCAGATCTCTGCTATGGCCTGGGAAAGCAGTAGAAGATGGCCCAAGTGCTTGGGCCCCTGCACCCAAGTGGGAGACCTGGAAGTAGCTCTTGGCTCCTGGTATCAGATCTGCGCAGCTCTTATCATTCTGGCCAACTGGGGAGTGAACCAGCAGATGGAAGACCTCTCTCTCTGTCTCTTCTTCTCTCTGTGTAACTATGACTTTCAAATAAATAAATATATCTTTAAAAAAAAAAAGGTTGGTTTAAAATATCAAGCTTATCATCCTAAATTCTAGAGAGCATTTGGGTCTAGTTTTTCTAGTAATTTATCTGCTGATGTGATAGCACCCCTACTATTTACCATAGCTTTAGGATATGTCTGAGTAGCTGGTTGACCTAGTTCTCTTTTGTTAACAACTTCTCTCTTTCCTGGATATTCTTACCCGTTTGTTTTCCATAAAATCTTTGGAATTAATTTATCCAGTTCTAAGAAGGAAATTCTGATGTTGTTGGCTTACTAATTTTCCAGGATAAAACCTACCATCACAGAGAATATTAATTACAGGTTGAATTCTGGTTTCAGAAAATTGAATTGTGAAAACATGCACATCTTAGAAACAAGATACATAATGATAAAACAAAAGGGAAGATCCATTGCCTGGAACTTAAACTGTGGACTGACTAGCACATAGTAACATGGGATTAGTACTTTAACAACCCAGTCTAAGCTAATGTTGTTTTTGTGATGACACATAGGTTCATACCGTATGTGAGAGCGGATGAGGAAGGCCGACACTTCTTGTTTGTTTATTTTAATTTTGATTAAAGAAAGAAGAATAAGCTCTTTTTAAAAAAGATGTATTTATTTATTTTAAAGTCAGAGTTATACAGAGAGAGAAGGAGACACACACACACACACACACACAGGGAGAGAGAGAGAGAGAGAGGTAGGTCTTCCATCGTTGGTTCACTCCCCAATTGGTTGCAATGGCTGGAGCTGTGCCAGTCTGAAGCCATGAGCCAGGAGCTTCTTCCAGGTCTAGCATGTGGGTCCAAGGGCCCAAGCACTTGGGCCATCTTGAACTGCTTTCCCAGGCCATAGCAGAGAGCTGGATCAGAAGTGGAGCAGCTGGGACTCGAACCGGCACCCATAGAGGATGCTGGCACTGCAGGCAGCAAGCAGCTTTACCCACTATGCTACAGTACCAGCCCCAAGAATAAGCTTTTGAGCTCCAGGAAATATTAGTTCACAGGTGAACTTTAGTCAGCATCTATTTTGTTTTAATTTGTGCAGTGTTATACTTGGGAAAAGAGCATTGGGATTGTGTTTTATGAGGAAGAAATTTTTCTTTTCCCCTGAGAGCTCAACATGTGTTTTATCACAGGACATCATGGAAAAGGATGGGTTCTGATTAGGCAGTTAGACTGACCTCGGACCAAGTCTCTTAGAACTGAGGATGTTCTTCCTTTTCCCCTGACAGGCAGCCTTGTTTGCACTACAGCAACTTTTTGAAGAGAAGTATACTCCCCGGCCTATCTTTGTAAGTTTTAAAATGTTTGCAATGTAAAATTTGTATTTTATTAATGATTGTCATTGTGAGCATAGGTCTCCCTCCTTCTACCGCTCCTGGCATAGTGGAATATTGATGGTATCTCTTAGAAAATATCTACCTTAATTTCCTCTGTTAACCTTCCTCCTACTACCACTTCTAGATCAATAGTAGACAAAGAAAATGAATCTAGAAGTGGTTGTTGAGAAGCAAGCTGTTCAAAAAAAAGCTTGGCTGGTCAGGTTTCCTGCCAAAGGTTTACATGCTCAGTCTTATTAGGTCCCAGTGCTGAAGACACTAGACTGCTAGTTCATTAACTTAATAGGCAGACCTATGAGAATCCTAAGATTGCTCAATGAGAATGGAATTGAACTGAAACAAAAGATGTTAATAAATCAGATGTTTAACATCAAAAGGCTAGAATAACCTGAGGCATCTCTGGGAAAGCTCCTTCAGTGGAACTGGACCTGTGAGTTTGAAAGCTGATTTGGGCATTGCATTTGCTTCAGTGCTTTTCTCTACTTTGATGGCTTTCTGTCTCTTCCCTGAGCTCCTTATCATATGTCTGTTCTGTTAACAGAAAATACTGTCTTAGTTTCTTAGTTCTCATAAAAGAACAAAGAAAGCTTGTTCATTTTATTTTGTCTTTGTGTCTATGTTCTAAATTTGCATCTGAATGAGCATTGTTGACTTCACTTACTTTGCTAACTCAGATTTCAGGGACGATTGTTGACAAAAGTGGACGGACTCTTTCTGGACAGACTGGGGAGGCATTTGTCATCAGTGTGTCTCATGCAGACCCACTCTGGTGAGTGATCAGTCTTTCCATGATTCTCTTCCTTTTGGGGACTCCTTTCTGATGGCTACAGATGTGACCTGGGAGGGGATTGCTTCCACATATTTCCCCTGTGCCCTTTCCATGGTGTATTGGTTTTCCTTTAAGTACTTTCAACTTTTCGCTCCAGAGCTTGAGAAGACCACTGCTAAGTAAGTCAATTTGAGGGGCTGGGAGAGTTCTTCTAGCTTCTGGCCCAGCCAAGTATTTCTCTGTAGGTGAGCCCCTTGTAGTTTCAGATCACAAGTAACACTTTAAAGCTGCTATCCGTCATTTAAATTTTTAAGGCAATGCTTTGCACATTTTAAGGCCATGCCTGTAAGGCCGCCACAAAATACACCAAACATCAGAGTTAGAGGAAAGGCTTATAGTTGGGGAGGTTGGAGGAGGAGAGTAAGAGAGAGACAGCACGTGTTCAGGAACAGATCCTATTAAAACTTTGGTTGGTGGGGGGGAGGGCAGGGGAGTAGGAGCAGGGAGTCCCATTAGGGTGGGGGTGGAGCTGACACCTGTGGTTGGACCATGGGTCTTAAGACCGAAGCCTACTATGCAAGGTGGTGATGGGGGCCAGGGCCTAACATGGCATCCCGGGCATAGATGGTGCCACAGATAAGACTATGCCATTTTACTAACAATGCCCCTTGCTATGTATCTGACAACCAGAAGCAGAAGCAGTCTAACTTGGTATAGGTGGGAATTCTTTCTATTTTATTTTTTTAAAGATTTATTTATTTGGGGGCCGGTGCTGTGGCTCAGTGGGTTAACACCCTGGCCTGAAGCGCCAGCATCCCATATTGCCACCGGTTTTGGTTCCAGCTCCTCCTCTTCAGATCCAGCTCTCTGCGGTGGCCTGGGAAAGCAGTACAAGATGGCCCAAGTTCTTGGGCCCCTGCACCCATGTGGGTGACCAGGAAGAAGCTCCTGGCTCCTGGCTTTGGATCGGCATAGCTCCGGCCGTTGCAGCCATCTGGGGAGTGAACCGTCAGATGGAAGACTCTCTCTCTGCCTCTCCTCTCTCTGTAACTCTGACTTTCAAATAAATAAATAAATCTTAAAAAAAATTATTTATTTGAAAGAGTTTCACAGAGACAGAGAGAGAGAGAGAGGAGAGAGAGAGGAGGGAGAGGAGAGAGAGATACCGATCTTCCATCTACTGGTTCACTTCCCAGATGACTGCAACAGCCAGTGCTGGGCCAGACTGAAGCCTAAAGCAAGGATCTTCATCCTGTTACTGGAGAAATTTCAGGGTTCTTGTCTTCGCGCAAGAAAGAATTCAGGTGTGAGACAGAGAGCAGTGGGAGGTAAAATAGCAAGGTTTATTAGGGAAGGGACATCCGTAAGGATGGAAAGGCACCTCTCCAGACAGAGCCTGAGAGGGTGCCCAGTCTCTCGGACTGGGGGCGGGGGAAGGAGTGAGGTTACATGGTTGGGTGGAGAGATTACACCTGGCCAGACCAGGCGGGTGACTCAGCATAGAGGCAGAGGGCTGAGCGCGTAGTGTGGTTGAGACCGGGGGTTTTTAAGGAGATGGGTCTTGCTTCCCCACCTGTTCCTCTTGGAACAAAGGGCTTTTTGGATGCAAATGTTAAGAGGAGCAGCTGGGACTAGAACCGGTGCCCATATGGGATGCTGGTGCCGTAGGCGGAGGATTAATCCACTGCGCCATGGCGCTGGCCCTGTCATTACTTACATATGCATAGGTACTTTGAAAGGTAATGCTTCTAATATCTTTTTGTTTTTCCAGCATTGGATTAAATTGTGCTCTGGGTGCAGCTGAAATGAGACCTTTTATTGAAACAATTGGAAAATGTACCACATCCTATATCATCTGTTATCCCAATGCAGGTTTGTGTTTCTAGGGGAGATACTTCCACAGATTGGGTAACAGATTTTGATTTAAAGTTTTTCACTTCTTTGTATATAGTCAACATTCAACAGGAGTTTTCCGTAAGAAGAGTGCTTAGGACTAGACCAATATTTCCACTCAAATCTGAAGAAATGGTTTGCTTCAGTCTGAAGCTACGTTGGAGGACATACCTTCAGGGAATGGGCCTGGACACATAACTGACCAGAGCATAGTTTATTTATTATTTTTAAGAAATTTTTAATTTCTTACAAACTGTTCAAAGTGAACTATATTTTATTTTAAAGATTTATGTATTTGAAAGGCAGAGTTACAGAGAGGCAGAGGCAGAGAGAGAAAGAAGTCCTCCATCTGCTGGTTCACTCTCCAAATGGTCCCAATGGCTGGAGTTGCACCAATCTGAAGCCAGGAGCCAGGAGCTTCCTCTGGGTCCCTGACATGGACGCAGGGGCCCAAGGACTTGGGCTAGCCTCCACTGCTTTCCCAGACCACAACAGAGAGCTGGATTGGAAGTGGAGCAACCGGGGCCGGAACTGAAGCCTGTATGGGATGCCGGCACCACAGGTGGCGGCCTCACCGACTATGCCACAGTGCCGGTCCCAGAGCATAATTTAATCCAATGTCACTTTGGTGACAGTGCCTATCATGTGGAAGTGGCCAGAAGGATGAGTATAAAGAAGAGAAGAAGGATTACTTCTCTCTGCTCTGCTCTGTTAGCAGAAAAGCTGACTTCCAGTTTATTGAGTGTAAAAATTCTGATGATATTTGTAGACGCTTCTTAAATCATTCACTTAAACTTGCTAATCTGAGTTAGCCAGGTTTCTAGGTAAATGCTTCTTTCTCCAAATATATACATTTTAATGCCTAGTAAATTTTATTTCCCACCAGAAATAAGGTAACTAGACGGGGATAATAAATAAAACAGAAAACTGGGTAGAGACTAAATTGTTACTTGAGAGAATTTGTTTGAAAGCAGATTGGTTGTCTTTGCTTTCAATTACATTTCAGATGCTCATTAGTTCAAAAGATACCTAGTACTGCTCCCTACCTAAGAACCTTTTGTTAAGAAGAATGGATTTCCATTATGGGAAGGCAGTGGAGTAGTGGCGTTCTGTGCCATATAACAGTCAATCTTTTCTTTGAAATGAAAAAGAAATGGTGAATGTTTATTTTTCTCAGTGATTTTTTTGGAGGTGTGGTATCTATTTACTATGTATTGTCATGAGTATTTGTTTTTGTAAGCAATCATTTGATATAAAATTTGATATAAAATTTAACTTTTAACCTAAAGCCTTTAAACATAGAATGTGTACTTGTGAAGGTAGTTAATAATGGTTGAAATTCTTTCTCAGGTCTCCCAAACACCTTTGGTGACTATGATGAGACACCTTCCATTATGGCTGCACACCTTAAGGTCAGGAATGTTCTCTCACTTGGGTTTTTAAGTGATGGCATTTTAGAGTTATACTATTTAGTTGCAGAATTTCCCCTCAGATATATATATATGTATTAATAGAAAGTTTAGCTACTCTGTATTAAGGTAGTAGAGGCATGAGAAGGACTGGCTGTTAGCATCCTATCTCTGATTGACACTGGTGATCACTGGAAAATTCCCAGTGGGGTCCACCCCAAACCAGTCGACATTTGCTTCTCTTCTGAGATGTTACTTCCTCTGCACCTCTCCCAAGTGGTTGCCTTCCTCCCCTTACCCCCAAGGTTTCCCATTGCCATATTCATCGTCCTCCCTTTCTCCAGATACTTGCCATCCTTGAATCCTAGATCAGGAAACAAATACCCTTTACTGCTCCTTAGTGTGCTCATCTGCTGATGCCTGATTCACTCACATTGACTTTTCAGTTCTTTGACTTCCTCTTAGTTATTATGCCCTTTACTCACTAGCTTGTAGTTAAACTTGAGATCTGTGATGTCTAATATGTAGCCACTCACACATGTGGTAGTTGGAATACTTGAATGAGGCTATGGTACAGGAACTGAAATTTTTACTTTAAAAAGTTTTTAATTTACATTGAAAAGCTAATATTCATGTTGTATGTAAATGTGTAATGAAGCTCACATTCATTCACTTCAATCTATGGGTAAAAATTTCTTTAATATCATTAGATAAATGAATACATTTCCCACTGCAGTTTAAATGGTATAAAGGATCTCATAGGCTATGAGTGATTCTCAGGTTTTACCTTTATATCTAAGGCATGTATAATCTTTATGTCTAATTAATTATGTCTAGTTAATTAAGTAAGTTTAGCTGTGTTTTTAGTATAATTTTATTAGGGAAATTAGATGGCTTTTGTGCTGAGTTGGTAGTGTTTAGTTTAGAATGTAGATGGATTTGCTGAAACTTTTATCTTTTCTTAAATACAGAACTTTGCTATGGATGGCTTGGTCAATATAGTTGGTGGATGCTGTGGTTCAACACCAGCTCATATCAGGTAATACTCACCTCTAGGTACTTTTGTTATGGGCAGAATTCTTTTCCCCTGGAGTTCATATGTTGGAGTCATAACTCCTAGTATCTCAGAATGTGACTGTGGAAGTTCTAACCTCTCGTGTCTCAGAACAGGGCTTTTGAGCAAGAGGTAGTAAGGTAAAATGAGATCATATGGGTAGACCCTAGTTCAATATGACTGAAGTCCTGAAGAGGACACAGATGCATACACAGAGGAAAACCTTATAAAGACACTTGGGAGAAAGCTGTTTGCAGGCCAGTGGAAAAGGCCTTTTGAAAGACAGACCCTGGCTGGCTCCGTGACACAGTAGATTAATTCTCTGCCAGTGGAACAGGCATCCCATATGGGCTTTGGTTCTAGTCCCAGCTGCCATTCTTCCAATCCAGCTCTCTGCTGTGGCCTGGGAAAGCAGTAGAAGATGGCCCAAGTTCTTGGGCCCCTGCACCTGCATGGGAAACCAGGAAGAATTACCTGACTCCTGGCTTCGGATCGGCGCAGCTCTGGCCATTGTGGCCATCTGGGAAGTGAACCAATGGAAAGAAGACCTTTCTCTCTGTCTCTCCCTCTCACTCTGTAACTCTACCTCTCAAATAAATACATAAACCGAAAAAAAAAAAAGACAGACCCTGCCAATTTTATCTTATACTTTTTTTTTTTGACAGGCAGAGTGGACAGTGAGAGAGAGAGACGGAGAGAAAGGTCTTCCTTTGCCGTTGGTTCACCCTCCAATGGCCGCCGCGGCTGGCGCGCTGCGGCCGGCGCACCGCGCTGATCCGATGGCAGGAGCCAGGAGCCAGGTGCTTATCCTGGTCTCCCATGGGGTGCAGGGCCCAAGCACCTGGGCCATCCTCCACTGCACTCCCTGGCCACAGCAGAGGGCTGGCCTGGAAGAGGGGCAACCGGGACAGAATCCGGCGCCCCGACCGGGACTAGAACCCGGTGTGCCGGCGCCGCTAGGCGGAGGATTAGCCTAGTGAGCCGCAGTGCCGGCCTATCTTAGACTTTTGTCACCCAAATTGTTTTTTTTTTTTTTTATTTTATTTTATTTTATTTTATTTTATTTTATTTTATTATTTTTTTTTTTTTTGACAGGCAGAGTGGACAGTGAGAGAGAGAGACAGAGAGAAAGGTCTTCCTTTGCCGTTGGTTCACCCTCCAATGGCCGCCGCGGCCGGCGCGCTGCGGCCGGCGCACCGCGCTGATCCGATGGCAGGAGCCAGGAGCCAGGTGCTTTTCCTGGTCTCCCATGGGGTGCAGGGCCCAAGCACCTGGGCCATCCTCCACTGCACTCCCTGGCCACAGCAGAGGGCTGGCCTGGAAGAGGGGCAACCGGGACAGAATCCGGCGCCCCGACCGGGACTAGAACCTGGTGTGCCGGCGCCGCTAGGCAGAGGATTAGCCTAGTGAGCCGCGGCGCCGGCCCCAAATTGTGAAACAATACATTTCTGTTGTTTCAGTCACCCTCGCTATCTGTAGTACATTGTTATGGCTGTCCTTACAAATGAATAGATTGAATAGATCTCTTTATTATGAAAAATTCCTCCAAAAAAGTAGATAAATAATTAAACAAACCTCCATATGCCTATTTTTAATATTGCCATAATTTTCAAGGTTTTGCTATTCTTATTTTATTCCCAGCTTTCTTCCTTGAATAATATAAGAGAAATTCTATAAATCATAATATTCTACTTTGAAATACCTGAATAATATTTGAGTGCTGAAAGAGGGACAGCTCCTATTTTTTGTGGGTAAATGCATGTTTCCATTAGATTCTTTTATGGAAAGAAGACAAGTGTCTTTTTTTTTTTTTTTTTTTTTTTTTTTTGATAGGCAGAGTTAGAGAGAGAGAGACAGAGAGAAAGGTCTTCCTTTTTCCATTGGTTTACCCCCTAAATGGCTGCTACGGCCGGCTCTCCGAAGCCAGGAGCCAGGCGCCTCCTCCTGGTCTCCCATGCGGGTACAGGGCCTAAGCACTTGGGCCATCCTCCACTTCTTCCCGGGCCACAGCAGAGAGCTGGACTGGAAGAGGAGCAACTGGGACAGAATCCGGCGCCCCGACCGGGACTAGAACCCAGGGTGCCGGCGCTGCAGGCGGAGGATTAGCCAGGTGAGCCACAGCACCGCCTAGGACAAGTGTCCTGAAGTCAGGAAAAGTATCTTTTCTTTGCTTGGTGCACGGTCATTGCTTCATTCACCTTTTGAAGTGAGTGTATGAAGAAGGGGAGTGAAACAGAGCATGACCTGGAATGTATTTAACTCATTATACTTTTGTGGCTAATGGGAAGATTGAATTTTGGTGGAATAGAACATAATTTAGGACTATTTTTCTTTTTTCTTTTCCCCTAGAGTGATTGATGATCATATTTTGAGGCAAGCTTCTCAATATTCCAAGTCTGTTTTCATGCACATATCTAAATTTCAGTGCTTTTTTTGGATTTCTGTGGTATCTATCTTCTTAAATCAAATTTTTAAAATATATCTGTTAAGGGGCTGGAACTGTGGCTCAGTGGTTAAACCACCATCTGTAGTGCCGGCATGCCATATGATGCTGAATAGTCCTGGCTGCTCTACTTCTGATCCAGCTCCCTGCTAATGCTCTTGGGAGGGCAGTGGGACATGGCCCAAATTCCTGGGCCCCTATGCTTGTGTGGGAGACCTGGAAGAAGCTCCTTGCTTTGGCCTGTCCCAACTCTGGCTATTGTGGCCATTTGGAAAGTGAGTCAGCAAATGGAAGGTTCTCCCTCCCTCTCCCACCTCCATCTCTCTCCCTCCCTCTCCCTCTCTCTCCCCCCACCTCTCTCCCTCTCTCTAACTCTGCCTTTCAAATAAATAAATAAAATCTTTTAAATAGTATGTGAAGCAGGCCGGCGCCACGGCTCACTAGGCTAATCCTCTGCCTTGCGGCGCCGGCACACCAGGTTCTAGTCCCGGTCGGGGCGCTGGATTCTGTCCCAGTTGCCCCTCTTCCAGTCCAGCTCTCTGCTGTGGCCAGGGAGTGCAGTGGAGGATGGCCCAAGTACTTGGGCCCTGCACCCCATGGGAGACCAGGAGAAGTACCTGGCTCCTGCCATTGGATCAGCGTGGTGCGCCGGCCGCAGCACGCCAGCCGTGGCGGCCATTGGAGGGTGAACCAACGGCAAAGGAAGACCTTTCTCTCTGTCTCTCTCTCTCACTGTCCACTCTGCCTGTCAAAAAAAAAAAAAAAAAAAATAGTATGTGAAAGCTATTAGTAGTTGAATATAGCCGATCTTCAGATCACAGATTCTTACTGTTTTGAAGATTATTTCCTCTTTCAGAAGAAGAGTTGTTTTAAACACCTTTGTGTGTATTTGTGTGGCATCTTTACCTGTCTATTTGTATTTATTTGGTGCTTTTACTTAGATACCCAAATACTAATTATGGGTGACAGACACTAGAGTGAGTCGTTCTTATTGATTCTGATAAATTTAGTAGAACAGCCAGATTTTTCCTGATTGAGCAAAGATATGATTCATTACAAGATTTTAGAAGTAATTATTTTGGAGTGTTAGTGCCTTATTGCTGTCTACTATGCATGTGCATTAGTTAAAACAGATCCACAGGACCTAATTCTCTCCGTTCTCAGCCCCTCTGCTCTTGTCTGCTGCTCCTCCTCAAAGCTGAAGCCTTTTTTCTGTTAAAACGTTGAGTTGAAAGCAAGGGCATGTTTTAGGTGTGAATTTGATGAACATCTGTGTATTTGGGGAGAAGATATGAAGGTTGCTGTTTGCATTTGCAAAAACGGTCAAACAACGTCAGGTTCACAACTTTGGGAGAGAAGCAACACAGCTAGTGCACAGCCAACTGGGCAGGCATATAAAAGTTAGTTGATTAATTTTCTGCATTGTTGAAAAAAAGGGAAACTGTGGCTGCACATTTGGAAGTAAGTATATAATTAGTTGCTTAGTTATGTTTATTTTTTTGTTCATTAGTCTTAATTTCATAGCTGTAATTAGTTTAAATTAATTTTATTCTGAATTAATGGATATAATGTTTCTTTCTTTCTTTTTTCCGACTCAGGGAAATTGCTGAAGCTGTGAAAAATTGTAAGCCTAGAATTCCACCTGCCACTGTTTTTGAAGGATACATGTTACTCTCTGGTATGTCATGAAGATATAGTGTTTATAGTTTGAGAAAGTACTTCTTTTAAAAAAAATTCTTATTATTATAAAGGGGACAGATTTCTTTTTTTTTTTTTTTTTTGACAGGCAGAGTGGACAGTGAGAGAGAGAGACAGAGAGAAAGGTCTTCCTTTTGCCGTTGGTTCACCCTCCAATGGCCGCCGCGGCCGGCGCGCTGCGGCCGGCGCACCGCGCTGATCCGATGGCAGGAGCCAGGATCCAGGTGCTTTTCCTGGTCTCCCATGGGGTGCAGGGCCCAAGCACCTGGGCCATCCTCCACTGCACTCCCTGGCCACAGCAGAGGGCTGGCCTGGAAGAGGGGCAACCGGGACAGAATCCGGCGCCCCGACCGGAACTAGAACCCGGTGTGCCGGCGCCGCTAGGCGGAGGATTAGCCTAGTGAGCCGCGGCGCCGGCCCAAAGGGGACAGATTTCATGTATTTCATAGATACAATTCTAAGAAGATAACTATAATTCCCTTTTCCCTGCTTCTCTCAATCTCCCTTCCTTCCTTTTTTTTTCCTTTTAATTTTTGCAATAATATGCTTTCACTTTACTTTGTAATCACAGGCCTAATGTGCCATGAACCATAATGTTCAACGAGTAAAAGTAGAAAGACCACTGTTCCACAAGAATACAAACAAGGACTATGAACAATAATCAAATCATAAGAGAGACTAGTTATAGAGCATATTTACTATGTTTAGTCTAAGGGATAGTGATGTTTGTGCCAAGCAATTTGTTTATTAGGTCAAAGAAGAGTACATATTTATCTTGGCAGTTGTGTAAATTATAATGAACCATTTGTTGTATTAGGGGTTGTGGTAGATAGATGTCAACTTTGGGGTAAAAGTGAGTGATTTGCCCAGGTTATAGTGAGATCTTTATTGGCCCTGTAACTATTGTGCTGTGTTTTACAATTTTAATTGGCAGCTTGGTACTAGCTATGGAAAATTCCAAACTACCAAGGTCTAGTGTTTGGTGATGGCAGCAGCATATAAGCAAATTTCATTTACTTACAAAATATTCTGTTGTAATCTTAAGATTTGCTGTGTATTTAGGACTTTATAAGGAGTTGTGTATTTACTTTGTGTTTGATTCTTAGTGTGAGTTTTGATAGTCAAATAAGGAAGGTTTGTAAAACAAGTCATTCCAACTGTTAGGAAAAAAACTTTAAAATTTCATATTCTTGCCTCAATATTTTCTTAAAATGTTAGATAGGAACTTTAAGCCAAAAATGTATGATTTTTTTCAGAGAATCTATAAATAATACACATGGGAAATAGCATATCTCTAGTAGCATATAATTTGTATAGAATTTAATATCTCTCTAAAATGGAAATATTTTTGTTTCTTATTTTTTTTTAGACTTATTTATTTGAATTGAAAGTCAGAGTTAGAGAGCGGGAGAGAGAGAAAGAAAGATAGAGAGATATCTTCCATCTACTGGTTCACTCCCCAGATATCTACACAGAACCAGGAGCCAGGAGCTTCATATTGGTCTCCCATGAAGGTGGCCAGGACCCAAACACCTGGGCCATCTTCCGATTCTTTTCCCAGGCCATTAGCTGGGAGCTAGGTTGGAAGTGGAGCAGCTGGGACACGAGTTGGTGCCCTTATGGGATGCAGGTATGAGCCTTAACCACTCCACTATAATACCAGCCCCTGTTCCTTATGCTAGTGTAAGAAAAATAAAATGAAATACAATTAACAGTAAAAGTAACATCAACTTTTGTCACTCAGAACATACTGCATACAATTAATCCCAATGAGGAAGTATGAAATTGAGGTAATCAACATACTTCTTCAGTCTACCTCCCCCCTCTTTTTAAAAAAAGATTTATTTATTTGAAAGGCAGAGTTAGTAAGGGAGAAACAGTGACGGAGAGATACCTTTTGTCTGCTGGTTCACTCCCCAAATGGCTGCAATGGCCGTAGCTGTGCTGATCTGAAGCCAGGAGCCAGGAGCTTCTTCTAGGTCCCCCACGCGGTGCAGGGGCCCAAGGACTTGGACCATCCTCCAGTGCCCTCCCAGGCCACAGCGGAGAGCTGGATTAGAAGTGGAACAGCCATACTAGTAAAGCCACTATGGAAGACAGTTTGGAGATTCATCAGAAACCTGAATATAGCCCTACCTCATGACCCAGCCATCCCACTCCTTGGAATTTACCCAAGGGAAATTAAATCAGCAAATAAAAGAGCTCTCTGCATCTCAATATTTATTGCAGTTCAATTCACAGTAGTTAAGACATGGAATCAACCTAAATGCCTATCAACAGAAGACTGGATAAAGAAATTATGGGATATGTACTCTATAGAATACTATACAGCAGTAAAAAAAAAAAAAGTAATCTGGTCATTTGCAACAATATGGAGGAATCAGGAAAACATCATGATGAGTGAAATAAGCCAGTCCCAAATGGACAAATATCATATGTTCTCCCTGATATGTGACAACTAACTGAGCACCTAAAAGGAAACCTGTAGAAGTGAAATGGACACTATGAGAAACAATGACTCGATCAGCCCTTGTCCTGACTGTCGAGGAACAGCTTACTATTTTATTCTTTTTAGTATTTTCTTGTTCTACTTAATACCATTGGTTGAACTCTTTAATTAACACACAATTATTCTTATTTAACTGAAAACTGATCCCTGTTAAAAATAAGAGTGGGAATAAGAAAGGGAGGAGATGTGCAGTACTTGGACTTACCCCTCATGGTAGATCTAGAAACCTGCCAGGGGATTCCAAATCCCATCAAGGTGGCATGTTCCAATGCCATCTCAAAGTGATCAGTTTCAGTTCATAATTGACCATAAAGATAGGATTAAGTGTCAAAGGGATCACATAAACAAGACTAGTGTCCGCTATTAATGCCTGATAGAATTAAAAAGGAGAGAACGATCCAACATGGGAAGCAGGATACACAGCAGACTCATAGAATGGCAAATGCCCTAAATAGCTCTCTGGCCTCAGAATCAGCCTTTAAGGCATTCAGATCTGGCTAAAAAGCCCATGAGAGTTTCTCAGGCATGGAAAACCAAGACACTGTAGCAAACAAAATGACCCAAATGAAAGATCTCTGTGAGTGAGATCCCAGCAGAAAGAACGGGCTATCAAAGAAAGAGGTACCTTTCTCTGAAGGGCTGAGAGAACTTCTACTTTGATTATGGCCTTGTCTAAATAAGATCGGAGTTTGTGAACTCAAGAGGCCTCCATAGCCTTGGCAGCTCATGATAGAGCCTCAGGTGATTACTGACGTCATAAATAAGAGTGTCAATTGTTAAATCAACAACAGGAGTCACTGTGCACTTGCTCCCCATATAGGATCTCTGTCCTTTATGTGTTGTACTATGCAAATTAACAGTAAAACTAGTATTAAAACAGTACTTTATACTTTGTATATCTGTGTGAGTGCAAACTGTTGAAATCTTTACTTAGTATATACTAAGTTGATTTTCTGTATATAAAGATAATTAAAAATGAATCTTAATGAAGAATGGGATGGGAGAGGGAGTAGGAGATGGGAGGGTGGTTATGGGGGGAAAAAAACACTATAATCCAAAAGTTGTACTTTCTAAATTTATATTTATTAAATAAAAGTTTTAAAAAAAAGTGGAGCAGCCAGGACCTGAACTGGTGCCCATATGGGATGCAGGCACTGTAGGCGGCAGCTTTACCCACCATGCCACAGCATCAGCCCCTACATATGATTTTTAAGAAATAATTTATATGTAAGGATGAAAGAATCCTTTTTCTCCAATGTGAATATCATGCATTATTTCTAAATTCCTCTAACAGTCACCTTCAATTAAATTTTTAAAAGAAGAGATCAAGGGGCCGGTGCTGTGGTGCTGTAGGTTAATCCTCTGCCTGCAGTGCTGCCATACCATATGGGTGCTGGTTCTAGTCCTGGCTGCCCCTTTTCCAATCCAGCTCTCTGCTATGGCCTGGGAAAGCAGTAGAAGATGGCCCAAGTCCTTGGGCCCCTGCATCCGTGTGCACAGGAGACCCGGAAGAAGCTTCTGGCTCCTGGCTTCGGATCGGCGCAGCTCTGGCCATTGTGGCCATCTGGGGAGTGAACCAACGGAAGGAAGACTTCTCTCTCTGTCTGTCCCTCTTGCTGTCTGTAACTCTACCTCTCAAATAAATAAATAAATCTTTATTAAAAAAAATTCATCAAGCACAATTTTAAAAATTGCTCTTTTATACATTGCAAACTTGAGAGAAATATAGTTTTTTATCAGAGACTTCACATTCATTGTAGATCATAAGTGCTCTGTGCAAAAATCAAAGGGAGGTCACAAGAGGACTTCTCAGCATTTAAATGTTGGCATCCCTGTTTGCCTGTCCTATAAGCCTCAGGGTCAGATTTGGGGTCATGGACAGCCCTAGACTAACCTGTGAGGCTGATGCTATGAGGTTCATTTCCAGAGGCGAGGGAAATCATAAGCCAACACTTTTGGAATTGGTAGTCTTCTCAGGTAACAAATAGCCTGGAATAGTTTTAAAATTATTGAACTTATATTCATTATTTTTCTCTCCCTCTTACTTCCTCAACCAGTGCTTTGTTATAGTACTCAAGCTATTCTTTTTTTTAATTAATAATGACTGCTGTGATGCTGGTGTAAATTTTATGCTTATTAGTGTTATCCAGTTTCACATTTAAAATTATGTTATAAGGTAGGCGACTTACAGTCTCTTATTTTGTAAGCTCAGGAGCTGTGTAGGAATTGCCCCAGGTTAGTCAGGTAAATGATTTGAACCCAAGACCCTCTGTCTTCAGAACCTGCCTTTAACTATCCAGGAGACTGTGTGTCTCTTAATACTTAAGTACGTGAATAGCAGAACAGTTGTACTTGTTCTTTACACATATGTTGCTTTTTGCATCAGTATAAAATGTATCCTAATGTATTATCTGATATTTGTCCTTAAATTAGCCTATATCAAGATAGATGTTATTACTTCTTGATAAATAAAGAAGCAGGTACCAAAAGCTCAGGTGGCTTGCCTAGAGTCAGCTTATTGGTGGTGGATCTGCCACAGTGACTGCTGTCTCAGGACTCAACCTTGGTCCTTCCTCGTAACTGGATTCAACCTTGCTTGTTGTGAGTTTTTGGCTTTTGGGTCAAGATGAAGTAAAGCTCTAAACTCAATGTTAGTAGGATTAAGAAAGCTTGCTCCATCTAGCCTCAAGCTAATGTTTGCAGGGACATCTGTGGAACAGTCTTGTGATTCAACTTTCTTCGTGGCTTTTGCCCTAGACACTTGGTTAACCTGTTGTCTCCCATCATCCTTTATATAGGACGTACACTGAGCAACAGCTGTACTACTTATGGTAACTGAAATAATGTCATTGAAACATTCACAGAGTAAAAACTTCAGACTTAATGGTTTAAATAAGGGAGAAGGTAATGATTTTTCCCAATGTTTCAGAGATGGTATAATTTGGCCCTTTAGGGATATTTGCAACACAAAACCCTGAAATATTTCTTCTTTGGAGAGTTCTAGTTATAAATGTAGCTGCAACAAGTAGTCTTTTGAATTTGGAGAACACTGTGGTCCTGTTTCCACGTTGGATCACTTATGTACTCAGATGGGCGACGGCAAGTAATTTATTTCTTGTGAAAACATTTATGTTTGTCTCATGTCATCCATATGCATTTTCAGAAAATTTTCAAAATGCTTCTCCTTTTAAGGTCTAGAGCCCTTCAGGATTGGACCGTACACCAACTTTGTTAACATTGGAGAGCGCTGTAACGTTGCAGGATCAAGGAAGTTTGCTAAACTCATCATGGCAGGAAACTATGAAGTGAGCATCTTCATAAGACCTCTGAGGCATCTGCCATGTCTTTGGCTAGACAGCATGTAAACGCAACAGCTTTCTGACTTTACTAGTGTTATTAGTAGAGCTGTTGGGAAGTATGCGGTGATGGTAATGTGTGTTTGCAGCTGCCTGGGCTGGTGGGAGGATGAGGCTTCAAAAAAATCAAAGCTGCTATCATTAATATTTGTCAAAATGTACTGCATTTGGGGCACGAAATGGGATGAGATGGTGGAGAATTCAAGTTCTAGCTATTTCTGTTAATTGTGAAATAAGTTAAAAAATTTGAAAATGTTTCATTTTGGCTTCCCACAAATCTTTCTGGGGAAAGTGAAAGCCAAGAAAATTCCTGTTCAATTCTTCATGACCACATCAAATGCTGATTGATGAAGGTATTGTTTTGTTAGCTGTAAACTAAAATAAATAAACAGATGAAAGTGATAGGCTTTTGCCTTGGAAAGTTTATGTGATAGTTGTGGCCATGGTGTTTTTAAACTTGGTCAGCGTAAATCAATCAAAACAAGGCCTACTGAAGATGTCTGGGTAGATTTTCTTCTGCAAGTATTAAAAATGAAGTCATTTAGTCTCAGTTTTAATGATGGTCAATTTAATCGTCCAGCTTTTTCTTGCTTTAAGGTTTTGCAGCTTTTAGGAAATAGATCTTCTAGAAACCAGTATCAGATTGAATTTTTATCACAAGGGGAGGGCTCATTTATCACCCTTTATGGACCTGTTAGTTATTGCATGAAGGGCTGTCTGCCTTCCAACTTCCTCTGCCAACGCATTACAGGGGCCTTCTTATCTCCTTTTTTTTTCTGGGTATAGGATAAAATTGAGTCTCCTTAGGCTGTCATTCTGTCCTCTCCATTTATGCACTAAACTACCTTCCCTCCTGACTTGTTACCTAAACATTCCAGGAAACTTGCCTCTGCCTCCATGCCTTTGCTCATGTTTATTCCCTCTAAAGTGCTATAGCCCTTTGTAGTTGTATGTTTTTCAGTTGGCAATATTTATATTTATGTTTTGATTTCTATGCCTATCCTGTGTTGTTCCTTTTAGCTCTCAGATTTGTTGGATTTGACATTGAGAATAGAATGTTTTAGGAAGAAGGAAATAATGGTGGAAGTAGTAATACCTGTCATATGATTGGGTTTTTCCATGTACCATTTACTGTGCTACTGTGTTTATTTCATTACTGAGTCTTGACAGGCTCATGAGTTGGATACTATTGTTATCCCCATTTTACTGAAGTGGAACAGAGGCTTGGGAGGTGAGATTAATTGTCTGTTGTTTGACGGCAAGGAAATGATAGAACCTAAGTCTGCCAAGCTCATGTCCTTAACTAGCTTGCTCTCTCTGCTTAGTGGAACCAGTAGAAGGAAACAGTCCCTCAGAAGGCTTTGTGCAATGTTTTCCATGACTTAATGATCCCTCAGTGCTCTGTAGTTTCATGGAGAGAGTGCTGACCTGAATGTAGTTCTAGTTTTATCCTCTTGCTTAGTTGGTTCACCTGTAAACAAAACACTGCATCTCTTGGGCCTGTTTGACAAGGTTGGACTATCAGATTGTTATTCTGTGACTCTTACTAAATAGACGGGCTTTGGGGGCCTGCATTGTGACTCAGTAGATTAAACCACTGCCTGCAGTGTTGGTATCCCATATGGGCACCAGTTTGAGTCCTGGCTGCTGCACTTCAGATCCAGCTTCTTGCTAATGTGCCTGGGAAAGCAACAGAAGATGACCCTAGTCCCTGGGCCTGTGCACCCATGTGGGAGACAAGGTTGAAGCTCCTAGCTGCAGGCTTCGGCCTGGCACAGCCACAGCCAGTGCTGCCATTTGGGCAGTGAACTAGTGGATGGAAGATATTTCTCTCTGTATCTCCCTGTCGCTTTCTCTAACTCTGCCTTTCAAATAAATAAACAAATCTTAAAAAATATATATAGGCCAGGTACCTCTGTCACTGTGTATCTATTTGCCTCCTTTAAACCATCTCCCATTTGGCAGCTGAAGACTCTCCCTCTTAGTTAGCTTTCTCCATATTTGGTTTATAGAATCCTTTTCCTTTTCTGAATATTGAAATAATCATGGCATTTGATCTACGTATTGTATGGCAGAGCCCTGTAGTATTTTATGGGACTATATATTGTGTGTCCCCAATTAGATGAAATCCTTCAAGAACAGAGATTTGTGAGTTAAACTGACACTGAAGAATTTCTTGACTTGCTGAATATAATTGTGGTCTTTTCTCCATGCAACCTTGGCTCACTATGAATGATTTTTCCTTGTGGCATAGGCCAGAGAGTTTCATGCCTGTTGTGTCACAATGATGGCTAGAAATTTCTGTTTGATATTTTTGGGCCAATAAATCAGGATAACATCAGCATCTATGATTGATTTATACTTGGCTTACTTTATTTTGCTGTGAAATGTACAGCAAGAATTTTATAAAAAACTCTCGACTATTTCCATCAGTATTATTAAATGTGTGTATTTGCCAAGTGTTGTTCAGGGTAGGCAATGCAGAAACCTGCCTTGATTTCCAGTTACTTCAGATCTGCTTGCAAGCAGTGAAGTAGTACTCAGGAAATCATGAGGTAATGGGGTTGTAATAAGCCATGTTATTATGATGAGAGGCCACAGATAATTGTGGAATAAGCAATGTTTCCCAAAGTGTGTTCTCTGGAACACTGATCCTACAAGATATTCCTTAAATGATCTTAAGTGGGAAATACAACATACTGTGTCCTGTTCTTAAAGGGTGCAGTTATAATAGTGTGTTAAGGGAATTGAAAAGCCTTCCGGCATAAAAATCTACTGAAATTTATTTAATTCAACAGTTATTTTCATGTATCTCCCATTAACAGCCTGTGGTGAGTGCTTTGCACGTCTAGGCAAAAAGTTACATGAGGTTTGGGAGGTTATTCTAAGAACCTTTCTTGGAAGAGATGATACTCGAGCTGTGTCTTAAACACCATGGAATAGAAAGGGATTGCTTTCAAGCAGAGGGACATTGTGATCTGTGGCACAGTGATGGAAACGGAGTCAGCTGGTGAAGGGTTTATTGGGGGCCAGTGGGAAGTTCAGTTGGGTAAGAAGATGGGGCTGCCTCAGAGCCTTTGACCACCAGGTTGAGAAGTTTAGATTCTGTATCACAGGAAAACACCCTTGGTGTGTTCCAAATGTGAAATACATGATGGAAGAAATGTGTAAGAGGGACGAATCTGTGAGGATACTAGAAGGAAGGCAGACTTAGCATCAGGGAGCCTGCTGCTGGGTATATAAGGGATTACTTTTGTTAGCCTTCTCTTGAGTCACCATCTCCTAATGCCACTTTCCCCCACATTCTTTCTTCAGGAAGCCCTGAGTATCGCTAAATTGCAGGTGGAAATGGGAGCCCAGGTGCTGGATATCAACATGGATGATGGCATGCTAGACGGTCCGAGTGCAATGACCAGATTTTGCAACTTAATTGCTTCTGAACCTGACATCGCCAAGGTTGTGCAAAGTTTATACTCAAAGGATTTTACCTGACTCATTTTGTCCTTCATTTATCTCTGCCAGTTGTCTCACTGACCTGACAACACTTGAACTGGTTTTCTGTTTTTGTTTGTTGAAAGTGCAGTATGATTGTCAACTTTTTCAGTGTAATCTTTTTGATAGAAATTTTTATGTATTTGAAATGCAGGGAGGGAGGGAGAGAGAGAGAAAGATATCTCTCATCCACTGATTTGTTCCTTAGATGCTTAACAACAGCTGGGACAGGGCCAGACTGAAGCCAGGGAAATCAACCTGGGTGCCCTACATGTATGGTGGGCACCTATCTACTTAAGCCATCACCTGCTGCCTCCCAGGGTGTGAATTAGTAGGAAGCTGTTGGGATAGGAATAGAGACTCAAACCTAGGCAATCTGCTATGAGATGAGGGGTGTCCCAAGTGGCTTTTTTTTTTTTTTTTTTGGACAGGCAGAGTGGACAGTGAGAGAGAGAGACAGAGAGAAAGGTCTTCCTTTGCGTTGGTTCACCCTCCATGGCCACCGCAGCCAACGCTCTGCGGCCGGCGCACTGTGCTGATCCGATGGCAGAAGCCAGGTGCTTCTCCTGGTCTCCCATGGGGTGCAGGGCCCAAGTACTTGGGCCATCCTCCACTGCACTCCCTGGCCACAGCAGAGAGCTGGCCTGGAAGATGGGCAACTGGGACAGAATCCGGCGCCCCGACCGGGACGAGAACCCGGTGTGCCGGCGCCGCAAGGAGGAGGATTAGCCTAGTGAGCCGTGGTGCCGGCCCCAAGTGGCTTCTTAACCACTATGCCAAATGTTCATCCACCTTTTTTGATAGAAACCAAATTTTGAAGAGAGATGTGACTTCTTTTTAGCTGCTTCCAAGGCTTTGAGACTGATGATAAGAATTCATTGAGTGTCCACAGATATCTGGACAGACTGAGAACCTACTTTTCACATCTCAGAAGGAGATACTTAACCTGTTCTTACCACATCACTGCTTCCATTCCTGCCATACATAATGAAACTCAATTGATCATTCCTATTGCAGGAGGAAGAGACCTTTTTAGGAGTATCAGATTAAGACAAAACTACAAAATGAGTAAATCAAGGTATATTATATCAGCTTTTACATTTGTTCCTTAGAAGGCAAAAGATAATTTTTGTGTTGGTTTTTTAAAAATATTTAGATGAGTTCTAAGAACTTTAGAAATATCATCTTGTTTTTCTGACATTAAAGTTTTGATGAAGGGTGATTGTTGAAGTTCCTTTTTTTCCCATAAGATCTTCCTAGTGTTTTTAAGAGTTTAAGAGTTGTATTTTTCAGGTTGAGCTTTCATTTTGCTCAACTATTTAAAAAATTTTATTTTCTTACGTGAGAGGTAGAGTGACAGAGACATAGAAAGAAAGACAGATAGAGATTGTCCATTTGCTGGTTCATTCCCTAAATGCCTCAGTGGCCAGGGCTGGGATAGGCTGAGGCCAGGAGCCAGAAACTCTTATCTGGGTCTCCTGTGTGGGTAGCAGGAACTCAAGTAGTTGAGCCATTGTCTGCTGCTTCCTAGGTGCATTAACAGGAAATTGGATTGGAAGCTGAGTAGCCAGGACCAGAGCAGGCACTCTGATATGGAATATGGGCATCTCAAGTGGTGAATTAATCAGCACAGTACCTGCCTCATGTTTGCTGAACTGTGATTTGTGTCTCAAACCTCTTTACTAAAAAGACTCATCACTCCTTTGAGAGGAAATATTTTGAGAATTCAAGGTGAAAGGAAGCTAAATGATTGGTTCAAAGTCAGAATCAGAGATGGGGCCAGCTGTTTTCAGCTTAGTAGTGGAAAGAGGGCTGAACCCTTTAGAGTTTCAGTCTAGTCGAAAAACTATTGGCCTTATTCATGCTTTGCCTAATTTGTCAATTGTAAAGATAAACATGCCTTGTCAACTGTGAAGGATTCCATGTAATTTAAGGGATTTTTACTTGGTGTTGTGATTGCTTTAATAATTTTTTTTGTTTCTTCATTTTTACCTACTACCTAAATTTATTAGAGGCCAAAATTTGACCAAATGGGGTAGGACATCTTTTTAAAAAATTACTTATTTATTTGAGAGATAAAGAGAGAAAACAAGTGCCGGGGCAAGAGACTACACTCTTACCTGCTTGTTCACCCCTCAAAAGCCCCATAATAGCTGTGACTTGGGCTGAGGCTGAAGTGGGGAGCTGGGAACTCAATCCAGATTTCCCATGTGGCTGGCAGGAACCTAATTATTTGAGCCATCGCTGCTGGCTCACAGGGTCTCCATTGACAGGAGACTGGAGCCAGGAGCCAGAGGTGGAAATTGAAGGTGGGTACTCTGATGTGGGATGTGGTCATTTAACTGGCCTCTTAACTGAGGCAGGAGATAGCTAGGGTCTTAATAAAACAGTAAGAAAGAGGAATTTCTTTTTTTTTCTTTATTTTTGACAGGCACAGTGGACAGTGAGAGAGAGAGACAGAGAGAAAGGTCTTCCTTTGCCGTTGGTTCACCCTCCAATGGCCACCGCAGCCGGTGCGCTGCGGCCGGCGCACTGCGCTGATCCGATGGCAGGAGCCAGGTACTTCTCCTGGTCTCCCATGGGGTGCAGGGCCCAAGCACTTGGGCCATCCTCCACTGCACTCCCTGGCCACAGCAGAGAGCTGGCCTGGAAGAGGGGCAACTGGGACAGAATCCGGTGCCCTACTGGGACTAGAATCCTCTGCCGGCGCCGCAAGGCAGAGGATTAGCCTAGTGAGCCGCGGCGCTGGCCAAAAGAGAGAGGAATTTCAAAAGGCTGTAAAAACTACATTAACTACTGGGCTAAATTTCCAGTCCTATAAAAGCAACATATGGACATGTCTTCAGTAGGTTGAGACACTGGAATATCAGCAAGCTTTGTATTGTCTTTACATTTAACCCTTTGCCTAGCAAACCCCTTATTATTAACATGCTTTGAAAAATCAAAATCAGTAGAGTCCTTGTTTATATTTGTTGTCCTTTGGTGATGTAGCTTAGGGTATTGCTGACTATTCATTCTTTAATCATTAGTTGAAGTTTTTCCTGCCCAGGAAGCTTTCCTTGAATTCTCTCTCTGATTCTCTTCGCACTGGGTTTGGTGTTCCTGAGAGATGCTCTCATAGCAGTCTGCTTCTCTGGGGCTCTAGCATCAGTCACACTTTGTGTCATTACTTGTTTAATAATTTATCCTTGTAAGCTTGAGCAAGAGACCTGTCTGCCTTACTAATGTTCCTGTATTTATTTGTTGAAGGGCTTAACTAAGTCATAGGGCCTAGATCTATTGCATTTCAAAAAACTCATCTAATCCTTCCTGTAAGTCTTCCCTTTTATCTTTCATGGAACAGAGGCATGAATTAAAAAGGAGCCTCTTCTCATCTGTACATTTCAACTTTGTCCTTTCTTTAGTTGCATTTCAAGAGTGTTATATGGCTGGCGCTGTGGCTCAGTAGGCTAATCCTCCGCCTGTGGCGCCAGCACCCCGGGTTCTAGTCCTGGTTGGGGCACCGGATTCTGACCCAGTTGCCCCTCTTCCAGTTCAGCTCTGCTGTGGCCCAGGAGTGCAGCAGAGGATGGCCCAAGTCCTTGGGCCCTGCACCCATATGGGAGACCAGGAGAAGCACCTGGCTCCTGGCTTCAGATCAGCATGGTGCGCCAGCTGCAGCAGCCATTGGAGGGTGAACCAATGGTAAAGAAGACCTTTCTCCCTGTCTCTCTCTCTCTCTCTCACTGTGCACCCTGCCTGTCCAAAAAAAAAAAAAAAGAGTGTTACATCTTTTTTACTTTCTAAGATTGAAACTCATTTTTTTTTTCCTAGTCAGGAACTTGGACTTCTAAAGAGGAGATAGAATTTGAATAACTTGGGTAGAGAGCTGTTCCCAAAGGGCAATAAGGCTATAAGGCTAAGAACTGAGTCAGAGCAGTGATGTCTGAATCTTACTTGAGCTGTTCACCTCAGGGTTTAGGCACTTGAAAAGTACACTAGTACTGAAGCCAGTGAGCTGATATCTCTGGTTCCATCCTGCTGCTGTAACTGCGATCTTTGAGTTATAAATTCTTGGCCCATGCATGTAATCTATTGTAATGCTGACAGTACTCCTTTTTGGTACGTGGTTAGTTGTTACTGATCAGGGAGAACATACGATATTTGTCCCTTTGGGACTGGCTTAATTCACTCAGTATGATGTTTTCCAGATTCCTCCATTTTGTTGCAAATGACCAGATTTCATTGTTTTTGACTGCTGTATAGTATTCTATAGAGTACATGTCCCATAATTTCTTTATCCAGTCTCCTGTTGATGGGCATTTGGGTTGATTCCAGGTCTTAGCTATTGTGAATTGAGCTGCAATAAACATTAAGGTGCAGGCAGCTTTTTTGTTTGCCAATTTCATTTCCTTTGGGTAAATTCCAAGGAGTGGGATGGCTGGGTTGTATTGTAGGGTTATATTCAGGTTTCTGAGGAATCTGCAGACTGACTTCCATAGTGGCTTAACCAGTTTGCTGGTTAGTGGGTTAGTGTCCCTTTTTCCCCACATCCTTTCCAGCATCTGTTGTTGGTAGATTTCTGAATGTGAGCCATTCTAACTGGGGTGAGGTGTGATTTTGATTTGCATTTCCCTGATTGCTAGTGATCTTGAACATTTTTTCATGTGTCTATTGGCCCTTTGGATTTCCTCTTTTGAAAAATGTCTCTTAAGTGGGTTGTTTGTTTTGATGTTGTAGAGTTTCTTGATCTCTTTGTAGATTCTGGTTATTAACCCTTTATCTGTTGCATAGTTTGCAAATATTTTTTCCCATTCTGTCGGTTGTCTCTTCACTCTCCTGACTGTTTCTTTTGCAGTACAGAAACTTCTCAATTTGATGCAATCCCAATAGTTGATTTTGGCTTTGACTGCCTGTGCCTCTGTGGTCTTTTCCAATAAATCTTTGCCTGTGCCTATATCTTGCAGGGTTTCTCCAATGTTCTC